CTTGCAAAGTGGTTCTCATACTTTATCCTAAAAGCTTCACGTCCTATCTCACAGAGTGAATTAGTGGTCAATAAAGTAAAACAGTATTTGTGTCCTTAGAAATGGTTTCCGACCATGTCTAACTATTTATAAAGCTGTAACTTTAAATAGACTGGTTTGCAACCAGTATATAAGGAACTCTCTCTTTGCAAGTTTGAGTTTGGCAAGGTTTGAAAGCCACTATAAATTTTGAGTAAGACTTTAGATGGTCCCTTAAATTCATGCTTCCCTGTAGTCTGTAATTCGATATGGGCCGCTCCTGATCGCAAACTTCCTCCCATCGAATACCCTTAATACTTGTTATTCAGATGTGATCTTCGAGTTATGAGATCCGCCTTCTACATGTTACATGAAGTATCTTGTGTACCTTCCAAAGGAGATCCCTTTGGGTTGTCAACGGTACCATTACATGCATAGGAATTATTTATGGGTCTAGGGTAAGCTAGACCCCAACAGGCTCCTGTGTCGTTTTGGATGATTGTAATGTTTGTGCCGTCCATATTCGAGCGCTTGATGTTTTGGTCCCTGATATCACTCCAAAATATGTAACCCAAGTTGTAATGAAAGTCTAAAGCTGCAGCCTTGGTCAATTTGGATGTGACTGAATAACTCGTCTTATTGCCGAAATCCAAAGCCAATATGAAGACATTAAGATTGTTTTTCTTGACTTAAATCGTCATATTATCACTTCTTACATTATTCCAATATTACAGCACTTGAATGCCACTTGCCTCTAATTCTACAGAATATTTACTACATTATTACGTATCGGTGAATTTTACTTCTTATGTATATTTACCCCTTGTGTAGGTCGAGAACAATTCCGTCCGGCCTTTCAGCTTTTGATGACCAGAGAATTCTTTTGTGATTTCCCTGAAAGTCTGATACTGATATGGTACCATTTGTTGAATCAGTCCAATACAATTGTAATGAGTTCCACTCCACTGCTAGACCCCAACAGTACCCTGTGTCGTTGTGGATAATTCTAATGTTTGTACCGTCCATATTGGAGCGCTTGATGTTTCGGTCTCCTATATCACTCCAAAATATGTAGCCCAAGTTGTAATGAAAGTCTAAAGCTGCAGCCTTGGTCAAATTGGAAATTACTGAATAACTCGTCTTATTACCGAAGTCCAAAGCCAATATGTGGTCATAACTGGGAACCAAAAGACATGGATGATTGCAAGTACGTCGTCTCAGTTCTACAGGAAATAATAAAAAAGGCAAATTATTCGAATAGCAATATTTTTTATACCTGTACTGATTTCTGTCGATTATAAATAGCAATCAACGCCTTTTAAATTGTTTTGACTAGTATTTATGGTTACTTAGTTTTAAATGAAAGAAAAACGAAAAAGGTGAGGCACAACCCCTGTATTAAATCACATTGCCTGAAATGCGGGAGGTAGAAAGTCAAAAGTCAATTTGTAAAGAGTCAACATCTCGAAGGAACATACTAGGTATGCAAGATCCACATTACGTAACTTGATGTGATTCGTTAGTAAAGTGTGACACGATTACTATGGACAATGATTGACAGCCCACTAACTATCACCCTAATGGATCTGAGTTGGTGTTCCATGCTTTAGGGTAGTTTAAAAAGTGAATACAGAATAAAGACGAAACCAGCTTGAGTGTTAGTGAAATAAGGTTTGCTTCAAACTATGAAGGAGGGCACTCAGAGGCGCAAATTATTTGCATGCTTTCCTTTTGATGAGACCGAATTCTTTGCAATTGGACTCCGTTGGAATCTATCTTTGCTACGTTTTGTGTTTTGATTGCCGATATCTTTTTTCCCTAAGGCACAGAGCCTAAATCAGTGAACTCGATCGGGGTCGGAAGCATAATAACAATGAAGAACAGATTCCCAAAGTTTCCTTCATGTCATTATTGCATTAGATTCCAATACTCCATGTGCGGATATCCCTTTCCTTCGATTGCAGTGATCATTAACCGAAAAAAGAAAAGGTTACAACAAATCCGAAAAATACATAGGGCCGGTTGTTGTCACAAGGTCTAACAATGCACGGTTTTACGCAATCAGAGGACTTCAAACTCTCTCGATGACCTCTCATTTTAATTGAAAAAATGTCCCTCCACTGCTCGCTTTCGGCCTTTTTGACACTGTTCACAAAAAGAAATGTTCAGATTAAAGGTTCAGCTAAATTGAAAATTAAAAGAGGTAAGTTTCTAAAGAAACTGTGGTGCTCCGTCGTTGGGAGAGTATAACAGGGTAATTTAAAATTATCGACTGAGTTGATAATGTAAATTGGCCACCGTGATGAGTTTGACTTTGTTTAGGATGCGGCTTTGTTAAACAACGTCTAACCTTTGTTTAAATAATCAGACCATTTTGTTCTAAAGAGGTTTACGAATAAGTAAAAGATGTATAAATACGTTCGAGGACAATGGTGTAACTCAGAAGGCCTTGTAATTACACTACTCCTGGGATAACTCCTATTTGAACTCAATGACTATCCTTCGATCAATACATCGTACGATTGATTTTTTCTGGTCCTATTTTACATTTAGTTTGGAGCCTGTTGGCTTTCCGCTTCAACTTTCAACTTCGAAGTGAGCGTGCCATGGCTTGTATTTAAACAATTTCGGTTCGTTTTGAACAGGAAATGATTACTTGTCAAAAATCTGTGGCTAACCTGAAGAAGCAGATACCTCCTGAAAGCAAGCGAGACTTGAGATGAAGATTGTGCTCCAAAGCAGAAAAACCCTTTTGAGTCCTTTCATGTCTACGTTTGTTATTGTGCGCCGAGTAGGGTAAGACGGCTTCATTCTGAGAAATTTTAGTCATGGATATCGTAACACGTAAGAGAGGGGCCTGGGTAGAATTTAAATAGGAGGTGAACTGGGTGATAACGCTCTGATGGACTTACTGGTAGATAAGATTTGACAAAGCCCTCGATGAAACTTCACAAAAATACTATCTTTTTAATTACTCCTATAAAATAGATCTCGGTTCAAAAGGGATTAAATGGCCTCGTATGTTCGTATATGCAGTGGCGGGACATTGGCGGGGGAGATGGGCGATTGAATTTTTATATATGGGTATTATTTGTCTCGCATCCCCGTTAGAATCAAAAAAGCGATAACTAAGTAATATTGAGTTCAGAGACTGAATACATAAAACCACAAATGTCTCAAATAAACTCAAGCCAAGTATACGGCCTTGGTCATCAACGAGTGCTCTTTAAGCTCCATGGTAGATCATCGAACCGTGGATTCCGAAGGTCTGTGGTTCGATCTGTCAAAGCGGACTCAGATTTTTCCTTTGTTCAGCATTTGTGACAAATTAACAATATGTGTCTTCGTCAACAATGGAATTCAAAATTTATTATATGTGACCCTCCGCGGGATTCAGGGAATAAGGGGAACGCACGCACACGGCACGCTCGCACGCTAAAACAAAAGAACTAGCTTTTAACACGAGATCTTTATTTCGCACGAATACATGATATCTTCACACGCATGAAGATCACTGTTGCTATAGTTATATATGAAAATCGCGCCTTTCGATGTATTGCCTTCGACTTTGAGAAACATTGACGCTTACTTTTTTTGTTATTATTTTTTATTTCATCATGTAAAGTGCTTAGTTTGTGCAAGCTCCTTAAGTTTTGCCATTGAACGTTTTTCTCACTCTTTGTCTTGCGTTGAACATTATTTACTGCAGTCCATCAGCAACAATGAAGAACTCCGAACGCTCGTAATAGCGAGCTTAATGCTTTAACTCATAACATACCTTTGCGTAGTCTTCTCCTCAGTGATGTAGTCAGATATGGCCTCTCAGCGTTGTATTATACCCAGGTTCGCAGGCTTTCTGGAATATGCCTTGAACTTTGTGAACAGGACAAGCCAGGCGCGATAAGTCAGGGTAGGCGAGGACCTGAGGAAAAAGTATGCAGACGGCAGCCGGGGTAGGGTATGTGGGAAAGGGTTATATGTCTCATTCAGGATATTGTAAGCGGTCCTGAATCATCTGCTCGAGGAAGGACCCACCCAGCACAGTCCCTGCTGAAAGACCTGAAGGAGAGTTAGAGATATTATCGAGAGTAAGTGAAAGTAAACAGAACGCATTTCGCATGGCTAATTTGGAGTATACAGCTTCTTTACGTTCAGGTATACTGAAACAATATTTTCCCCCTCACGATACTCAAGCTTCTCGTATTTGCACCTCGGGAAATCTCGGCTTGTTAAGATGATAACTATTATTCCTAAACATCTACATGAGTATGCAAACCTTCAAGCTATGTAGAGAGTTTTCAAACATCGATCTGCAGATATTGTATCATTGTGTACTTACCACTCGTTGGATCTATAACCGAGACAAGCTATCATCATCATCATAACGTAAATCTCGTCCTTATAAGTGTTTTTTTCAGCTCAATCGTTGGCAATCTACAGTGAGTTCATAGCTATTCTGTATAAACTAAAGACTTTATAATTCATACTTACCAAATCAACAGCGATATCGTAACAACGGCTAAAGATGTAAACAGGACCAAGCCCTCAAGAAAGTTAGAATTTATAGTAGAAGTGTAATATAGCGAACCTGCACATGCTGCCGCTTATTCAATATTGATATCATTGAGAAGATTGAATACGGCGGGATAATGGCAAATGTATCGTCACTGAGTCTTAAACACATAAAGACAGAGACGATCCATTACGCAATTGTAAATCGAGTGATATATGTGCAGATGCACACTATCAGCTGACAGAACCCATACATAAGACTGTTGCGATGTTGTTTGATTGATTGTCATGACCTACAACTGCTTCAGCCTTATGAAGACTATTGACGACCCTATATCGATTCGTGATCCAGGGTCGTCAAGTTATTAGATCTCTTTCACCGTACATTGATTGATCCATGTACAGAAATATGAGATCAACCGCGTGGCCCCGAGAATTAACGGATGCAACGATGTTAGGTCGACTATCGCGATCTACAATCGCTGCAAGCGTTGGGCGGAAAGACCACTGACGATATCGAATCGATTCGTCATGCGACGCAATGAATACAACAAGTAAAAACTAGCGAAAACCACTTAAATTCCATAACATTTTGATAGTACCAATAGTTCGCATATCTCGTACCTGGACAAACAAGGTCTGGTCCAATCCACGTCCCATTTTCAGCACACCTCTTTATTGTTGCACCAATCGCTTCAGATCCTTCCTTACAAAAGAACCTGCATTCAGTGTCATATAACATCTCTGTGTTATTGGTGTTACATCCCAAGAGGACACCATTCCTCGGTAATGACAAGGTCGGGCACTTTATCGCTGAAGAAGAAATCCGATTATAATTAGCATGACACTCATCTTTCGAGTACATCACAACCTGGCATTTAATTCTGACTATAGAGAGAAATAAGTTCAGCGGAAGCCATGCAGACATTTGATGTCGGGTAGAAATGGTTCTCCGATCCCCGGCTAAAAAATTTACGCTTAACACGGCATGTAGTGTCTTTTATAAATGTATATGAGGCAAACAAAATAGTAAGACCAAAATCAAAACTAAAACAGTGTCAAATAAACATGATTTTAAAAAGCTCACAATCAGGTATAACAAGGGGATAGTTTGGAGTTTCATAACCCTCGCATTTCATCAACTATCGACTGAAGAATTACCTCTCTTTTTGGTTTTAGAAAAACTCAATGGTTATTGACTGCGTGTGTAGGAGAACTAAATGAACTGGAATAATTATATTGGTTGGCCGAATTCTTAGACACAGCCCTGTGTTAGAACTGAGCTGCAAATGCAATTTATCATCAGCGATGTACAGTTGATGACTAAAAAATAGAAAGAAGCTGAGATAAACTAACATTTTTTGCACAATCAGTTATCAGCGACTTCTTGTTCGTTTTGACGTATGAACATTACTCTTTCTATCCGATAAACTTTGGGAACCTACTTTTACAAACAAAGTTCTGTCCACTCCAAATTCCATCGTACTGACACCTTCTGACTTGAGATCCTGATCCTACATAGCCATTATTACACGTGAACCGACAGACGGTACCGTTATATAATGGCAAATTTCCTGGACATCCATATCTTGTTCCATGAGTTGGTGGAGACAGTACTGGACATGTGATCTCTGCAATACAACACACATAGATAATAATCAATATGGTTATAAAATAATTGAAAGTTTTATCAACTTTCAAAAGCAAGAAGCCAAGTAAAAACGTTGATTAAATACAGCATTTAAACTCAATTTTTTCTTTTTCCAATTTGCATTTACCTTCGCATGCAGGTAAGTAAGTAAGTAAGTAAGGACTTTATTTATAGAGGGGGACACGTAACAGCTGAAAAGCTGACAAACCTGTGGCCCTCTAACTAGATTATACAGCATTACAAAATAATACTAATAAATAGATAAATATACAAATAATTACAAAATTCTATGATAGAAATAGCAGGATATATTAAAAATATTCAGAAAGATAAAATTAATTTATAAAAAATTAAAATTAGATAATGTGCTATTGCTTAATATCGTTTCAAAGTTGTCCAGGTTTCTATATGAGCTTATAAAATACTTTTTCACAGCTGTTTTGAATAGTTTTATACTAGGCTTATTTTTGATATTATGGGGAAGGCTGTTCCATAGCTTAACTGCGTCAACACTGAATGCCTTGCCACCATCGTTATTTCTTAGGTATTTGGGACACACTAAATTTAAATTGCCATGTCTAGTAGACCTATTGTGTACAGAACTGTTCGTCTTGAGCAAGTCTCTGATGTAAATCGGAACATCGCCTTTAAGGCTCTTAAAAATCATTGTACACTTATTTAGTTTGATTTCATCAAAAAAAGGCAACCAGCCTAGTTTACTAAAGTTTATAACACTTCTAGAATAAGAGTCAACTCCAAGAATTACTCGGGCAGCCCTTTTCTGTAACCTTAGGAGACAGTGGAGTTCTTTAGCGTCGCAGATATTCCAAACCATGCTCCCATACATAAGGACGGGTTTAATCAAGGCGTTATAGTATAAGAGTCTTTCTTTTATTGGAAGGTATCTCTTTATCTTCTTCAATAAACCAATACGCTGAGAAAGTTTGGCCTTTAGACTAGAAATGTGGTCGCTAAATGTAAGATCTTGATCGAGTGTTACACCAAGCAATTTATAAGAAGTTACTTGTTCTATTTCGGCCCCATCAAGGGTCACTGACAGGTGATTGCCATCCGCTAATGATGAATGTAGCCTCTTTCCGGTGATAAGTAATGCATTGGTTTTAACGGCGTTTAGGACCATCCCATTTTCGCTAGACCATTTACTTAATTTATCCATGTATTCTTGAAGACGTCGTTCCAATTCCAAAGGTGCATTATCGATATTAGCGCTGGCTTTAAATGTGGTGTCATCCGCGTAAGCATGAATAGTTGAGTCCGATCCAACAGCTTCGGGAAGATCATTGACGAAAATTAAAAACAGTAGAGGTCCTAATATGCTACCTTGAGGAACTCCATTGGTTAGCGTAAGTTGTGACGAAGTCGAGTTATTTACAGTAACACACTGTTTGCGATTGAGTAGATAGCTCTGCAATAGCTTTACAACATTATCTGGAAATCTATATGATCTTAACTTTACCAGGAGAATGTCATGATTGATCAAGTCGAATGCCTTGCTATAGTCCACAAAAACTAAGCCGCTGACGTTGTTCTTATCAAGGTCAAGAAGGACTTGGTCCAGAAGAAACAACAAAGCAGTATCCGTGGAGTGGTTTTTACGGAACCCTGATTGGAAGCGGTATAAAAGTGAATTTTCTGTTAAGTAGGTGTTCACAGCATTGAAGATGTGTCTTTCAAAGACTTTAGAAAGAATAGGCAAAATGCTAATAGGACGATAGTTTTGAATATCTTGCTTGTTTCCTTGATTCTTGAAAAGAGGTTTAACCTTTGCTATTTTCCATTGTGAGGGAAATGTACAAGTTTCAATACAGTGATTTATAATTTTAGCTATGGAGCATGATATTTCAGGAGCTGCAATCCTTAGAACTCTGGCACCAAGCCCATCGATTCCCGTGGCTTTGTGTGTAGGTATACTTAGAAGATAATCGTTAACCTCACTAGGAGTTATTTGCGGAATAAGATTTTCAATTTGACTGTTAGATTTGTCTGGTGGACCAGGAAGAGCATCATAATGAAGTACAGGTGTCGACTTTATGAGACGTTTATATACATCAACGAAGAAGCGGTTAAAGCGTTCAGCGATTGAATGGTCATCCTTTATCAAGTTGTTGTTTTCGTCAGCAATAGGGACGGAGTCGTCGTTATTCTTTGTATCTTTAGATAGGTCTTTAATTAAAGACCAAAGTTTCTTTGGACATTTTTGATTTTTACTGAACTGAGTTTTAAAGTACTGTTCCTTCGCATTTCTTAGTTTCCTCGTCACTTTGTTTTTAACCAGTTTAAAAGCAGACCAATCTTGCTTATTTTGTGTTCTCCTGGCCCTCTTTAGAAGATTATCGCGTTTATTTATTTCGTTGTATAGATCATTAGTGAACCATTTTGGCTGATTGATTTTCTTCACACTCTTGGACTTTAAAGGTGCGTGATTATCAAGAATGTCATTAAAGATTTTGTACCAAGATTCAACAATGTCATCGGCATCTCGAAAAACAAAGGAGATATCCCAAGGGGCTTCTCTTAGGTCTCGCAGAAAGCACTCTTTGTTGATTTTGTCGATATTTCTGTATTTGATTTTGGAATGTTGTTTACGTTGTGCATCCATGGTTTTGTAGCACCTCAAGATGGTGACCGGAAGGTGATCGGAAAGTCCAGATTTACCTATGGATACTTCTCTAATTCTAGCAGGATGACTAGAATAAATATGGTCTAAGCACGCATCAGAGGCAGGTCTTGTTACCCCATTTACCATCTGCGTTAATCCAAGACTGTTCAGTGCCTTTGCGAGACAATGTTTTGAATAACAGTTGAAATCAATATAATCCAAATTAAAGTCTCCCAGAATAATCAATTCATTGTTTTGGAGATGGGCATTTTCAATATTTTTACCCAAGCTCTCATTATAATCTTTGTTGGCTGAAGGTGGACGGTAAACACCAGATATCAAAATCGGTCTCTTTGATTTATGAGGACAAATTTGAAGCCAGAGAGTTTCAAGATCATCCAGTTCCAAATCTCTTCGACGTAAAGCCATAACTTTCTCATTTACATACGCAAATATGCCGCCACCTTTCTTCCCGATTCGATCTTTTCTGTGTAATGTGTAGCCGGGTATCATGTAATAGCTGTCTGGAATTTTACTTGATCCGAACGTCTCAGTGAGAATTAAGACGTCGAGTTTAGCAGCACTGTTGTTGTTCGAGGTGAGCATTAGCGATAGTTCTTCCAATTTGGTGTCAGTCAGTCGTTGGATGTTCCAGTGGCAGACTGATAAACCTCTGAAGCCTGCAGGTGGTTGAAGATTATTAGGCCCTGGATTGACGGCAATATCGCCAGATAGAAGAATGCACAGACAAAATTGGCCAAGCTTGATGAACCGCAACAACGCGTGAAGCTTCAAATTCAATTCGCAAGGTGTGCATTTCGAAGGCTTTGACTTACAGTTGAACGTAGGTGGAGCAGATATTTCCTTCCCAATGAAGAGTGTAACTGTAGAGCGATCGAATTCAGGTGTAATTGAAGTAAATTGGCCAAGTAAAACGCTGAAAATAGTCAATAGAAGCACGACTGCAAAAATATGTCTGCACGCCATGACGGTAAGGAGTTGATAATACTAAATAGCCTAGGAATACGTTCACAAAGATCATTTCGATCCCCTTAGAGACTTTCCTAGACCTCCTAAAGATAAAAACAAAATTTGGGCAGACTACCCTAAAATCAATGGCTCTTATGGACTGGAATTTACTATCATGAAATCGAAAGTCAAAAACACTTGCTTCTTTCAAAATTAACCGGTGTTCGCAAACTCGTTGAATAATAACGTCACCATTCATTTACGCAGAAGACTTATTGGAGAATTCTCATGGTTCTTTAGAAACGTTCGACCATTTTCCCACGTTCCTATATGTACTTATATGCTTTTATTCAAACACTCCCCTAAGAAAAGTCCTAGATAGCTCTAAGGAAAAAGAAGCTCTTTGCTTTCGCTCTCTTGACGCTATTCACAGTAATGAATGTTCAGATAAAAGATTCAGCTAAATTCAAGATAGTTTAGAACGCGGTTTTGTTAAACATCGCCCAGAATGCTTTTGTTTCTCGCGACATGTACTTACAGTGCCCAATTTATCAACGCGCGGCATACTAATTTGCAGGTCCAGAATTAGTCGGCTGTGATTGGCCAACAGATTTAGCTTGGGGAATACTTGAGTCTCTTAGCAGATTTCAGCTGCTGTCAATCAAACGGTTGGATGCGAGGCACGGGTCACTCACTTGAACTTCACGCTCGCGCTCTTTTACTGTGCCGGTTAACGCAATAATGACCGAGAACATATTACCGGATATTTTTCTCTTTGAAGTCCGGACGGCAAAGAGAAAAAAAAACAAACACCCGCCTAAATAGGGTACAAATAAACATACAAGTGAATGATGATTTTAGATATATGAAAATTCATATATTTGCACCGCGGTGGAGAGATGAAATTAAGAGATCCTCGCAGCTAAGAACACTACTGAAACGAGTAGTTGAAAATAGGACCTGAAAAAAATTCAGGCCCGTTCGGGATTTGAACCCATGACCTCTGCGATACCGGTGCAGCGCTCTACCAATTGAGCTAACAAGCCAACTGGGTGCTGGTCAATGAATTGGGTGTTCCAGTACGGGCCTGAATTTTTTTCAGGTCCAATTTACAACTACTCGTTTCAGTAGTGTTCTTAGCTGCGAGGATCTCTTAATTTCATCTCTCCACCGCAGTGCAAATATATGAATTTTCATATATCTAAAATCATCATCCACCTAAATAATTATCTAACTATTCCCTCAGGCTTACGCCTGAGTGAATAGTTAAATAATTATTCATATTTGGATCCGTTTTCATTAATCAAAACATCTAAAAAAGTTAAGTTTTATTCAATCCATTCAGTTGAATGAGAGATGACATGTCCAAGCATATGAGACATCAGCCAAGCTTTTACGCGACATTATTTAATGATGTTTGCGATCGTGCCTGTAATTCAAAATACCGCCCAATTGTTATGGGCGTTTACGAAGTCGAGCGTATTGTCACAAAACGAGTGAAAGGAGGCAGAGAGAAGTACTTAATTCAATGGCAGAACTACTCCTCGAGTGAAAATACGTGGAAACCACCCGAACATTTGCCGGAAGATTTCATCACCGCCTTCGAGAACAGGTCTGTCGATCTGCTTCGTGCCGATGAATGCATTTTTTTAATTAGCTTTTAAATTTAGCACCAGCGTCTCAATAAAAGTCCCGGATATGTCGCTGAGTTCTGGGCGATGAGAACGGCTAAACTTTGTCTTAATAACCGGCCCCTAGAAAATACAGCCTATAAAGTACTAATATCAATATTAAAACGCATATAATTATAATTCTTAAAACTACTTAAGAGTCTAATTTCAGTGTTAGTGTATGGACAGTTAAAACTCGTCAAAGAGAAGGGCCTGTAGTTTGTTTTTCGATTTAAAAGTCGCATAGTTCCTCAACTCCCCTGGCAAGGAGTTCCATGCTGCTTCACCTTTGCAGTAAAAACTCCGCTGACCAGAGGTACACTTGTACACGGCAGCGACTCATATTCACTCCCACCGGACACCGAATATACTGACCTGCCGGTGGTTATTTACAAAATAAAACGGAATATATTACATATCGGTCATTACCAAGCTTCGAGGACCTACTTTGACAAGAATAATTCTGTCCACTCCAAGTTCCATTGCGCTGACATCTTCTTACTTGAGAGCCAGATCCTACATAGCCATCCTCACACGAGAACTGACAGGTTGTATTGTAATACACTGTATTGTGATGCACTGTTGCATTCCTCGGACATATGGCTCTTGTACCACTGGATGGTGAAGGCACTGGACAAGTTACCACTGTGATGAGAAAGGAACAAAACTCAAATGAAAATCTACCCAACGTAAACACAGGAGGAATGCACTCGACAGCAGCCAATTGATTTGCGATTTTTGACCAATTTCTGGTAAGAAACAAAATATGGCCAAAATGCTGTTTTTAGTGAGAACTCTGTGTCAAGTTGCATTTTAAAGCGTATGTCAGCTTCCGAGCCAACTGGAAGATATTTTGTCGAGTTTTAGCTTTTAATTGGTATTTGCAACGTCTAGATTTGTAGTTTATTATAGACATTCAAAACGAAAGGGGTCCATTTTTTTATTTTGATACCAATCTGACAGTGGAATTATACAAATGCAATTTTACAATCACTTACATACAGCAATGAATTAATTAGTGAGAGTGGTCAATGTCGCTCAGTTTTGCTCGGGATCATTTTTTATATCTTCAATCACAGGATTAAAGTTCCAAGTTCCAGAATAACCAGTTTAAGTTTGAATAATTTAATGGCAAACCTGGTAACTGCAAGGAACTATCATATGCAACGAGATCATAAAAGCCTCTCCAGTAGCTTGTGACGGTTACATTACTTTTCACTTTTCCATCGGAGGGATTCAGTCTGTAAACGATTTCTGATGACCAATGGTTAATGGTGAATAAATCAGACGAGATGAAAGTAATCCCCTGAAAGTCGACTCCACCTCTTTGAAAAACTATCCTTCTATTGTGGCCATTATAGTCTATGGATTCTATTGAGTTCCATTTACTCAGCCAGAATATGAGCTTTCTTCTTCTATCAAGAGTGATACCAGCTCGATGATTATTATTATGCACCGCTAAAGTAACACGCTGTGTTCCGTATAGAGTTGATCTTTCCACCTTAGAAATATTTCCCGTATCAATCCAAAACATCAATCTGTGGAGGAAATCACTCAGCTGCATCGGTTATTGGATTTATCAGCAATTTACTACACAAATTCATCTCAACCTTAGATTTTCATTGGAAAAATCTCTACTAATAATTAATTGGTTTGCGGGATCGTCCACTCGTTCATACAGTACTTACCCTTGGTGTGGATCAAGAACGATATCGGTTGGTCCCAACAGCGAAGAAACAACAGTGCGTTTGTTATTTCCGTCGAGATCTGATACCATTATAGTTTGAAAATAACTAGTCCAGTACAGCTGGAATGAGTCCCACTCTACTGCCAACCCACGGCAGGGCACTCCATAGTGGATAACTGTGATGTTTGTGCCATCCATATTCGAGCGCTGGATACGTCCCATAACACACCAAAATATGTAGCCCTGGTTGTAATGAAAATCTACATCTCTAACGAGTGGTAAAGTGGAAACGACTGGAAATATCGACTTGTTGTCGTAATCCAAAGCTAATACGCGGTCAAAATCTGCAACCAGAAGACATGGCGAGTTGCACGGATGCCTCAGTGCTAAGGAAAAGAACACGCGAAGGAAAATAATGGTAAAACGATCAGTCCATAAAATATTTTTAAAACAATTTAGACGCGATTTAATGATAGTCGATCTCAAATACAGATTTAGTACTGCTGGGGAATTGTCGCATTCCTCACATCCCCGACGAACAAAACAAAACCAAAAAAATCCCTGGACTCAGCACGATAAACGTAATATTTCTGATCTCATAGTCCGTTTTTTCGCTCGTGATAAAGGGGAAAGTCCATTTTTCTGTGGGAAAAACGGTTAGGAGCCATCCTTCTTCTTTCCGCTAAGTCGTTAAGAAGAACGGCAATGCATAACTATTTTCAAAATATTAAATGTTTTTGGTGTCCCGTTGTTCCGTCTTTTCCACTCTATTAAGCATGTTCTTTGAACAAGTATGATATTATCTAAAGGACTCCCCAGTTCTGAGTAGAGAATAAGGACAAAACCTACTTGAGCGTTAGAGAAATAAGTTTTGCTCCAGACTATAAAGGAGGGCTCTCAGAGGTGCTACATGTTACGTGCGCATTCTCGAAGTAATGGAGTTTAGATTTCATATTAGCATGAATTTCAAATTTGGAAAAGTTGATTTATCACATAAACTGTGGTGTTATACAGAGATTTCCGGCCCTGAGAAAAGCCGTAACAACACACGTGAAAAAATATCGTATTTTTTCACGTGTGTTAATATAGCCAATTAGCTGCTGACACGTCACTCGCCTTGGGCGCCACTCGGTCAGGTTGATGAATTAATGAAAAAGCCTTCACCATTCTTAATACAAGTTGTTCGTCGGAGCTTTCTCGAATTATGGCGGCTAAAACACTAAAAAATCCGTATCGCTGACAGACAGTGAGGTTCAAACTTTCCTAGAAAGGGAAGAAAACCAATATACTATAAGAAAAACCGAAAGTTGCGTATTCAGTGGCTTTAGTGTCAGCATTTCTCTCGTCTGAGAATGAAAATCGACAACTGGAAGATTTGCCACCAGGACAAAGTCAATAAATGAGAATTTTGAGAATTGAAAATTACGACCATTGTTGTTTTGTAATCATGATTCAACGCATTTTTCCATCTTAGGAGTAAGCGCCAACGCACTCTAAGATTGTTATTCGAGGATTGTCGATTCATTTATTTTCATTCAGAAATGAAGTCGGCTTTTCTTGCCAGTAAAGGGTTATTGCGTTTAAATGATAAAGACAATCAAATCAAATCAAAACTCGTGTTCAACTCGACATCTCACTCGTTCGCTGCGCTCACTCGTGCTCTTTATAGGAGACTTTAAAAAAAATGACAAATGATGGCAACCTTTTTCTTTTATTTTTTTTGTCAACAGTGTTTACACTAGTGATTAGTGCTATATCTCATTTGAAAGAGGACAAAATTAGCTTTTCAGAAAAAATATATTTTGCCTCCAAAAATCCATGGATTTTAAATCATGCTAAAAAATGGCATACAATTTGCATAAATTATCGTACAACTTTTGACTTTGAAACAGCCTGGGCCTGAATGGATTGGAGTTACAAGGAAACATTTCAAGATAAAATATTCCTTATCTTATGGGCAAGACATCCAGAGAGTCTGGCTGAAAAAGAACAAATACAGAATTAATTATAATTTTTTTCCAAACTGTACCCCAAAACCACAAAAATTGACCCAGATTATTGAAAAATGTATTCCTCACCAAGTATTTACACAAGGGAAGTAAGCTATACCTCACTTAAAACAGCAGTAAATAAGCTTTCCTGAAATGCATGTTTCCTCTCCAAGAAAAAGGAAACAACCTCATTGAATGCTTTCAAACTAACATTAATTAGCACAAAATATCATCAAAATTTGAACTGTGAATTAGGGGATACCCAAATAATATAAAGTAATGAGGCAAAAATTAACTAAAGAGGTTCCTTGTTATATGGGCAACATCTCCATAAAAATTGGTTGGAAAATAACAAATCTGAGATGTGTTACACATATTTAGTGAACACTGATTGACATACTGACTAATTAGTCTGACCTCATCATCACCCCAAGCCCAAATTTACTAATCCCTCTTGAAGTCTACAGCGCAACCATTGGACCTATATTTCTTTGTTTGACTTCTGAAATTTTGCCTTGAAACAGGGACAAATGAGATAATCAACCTCAAAATACATAAAGCGCAACATATATCGAAAGCCTTTCACTTACAATGCACCACCAGTATTTTTCAAGAGTAAAACAATTCAGAAGTGAAACCGGAAACTGTCATTTTATATCATTCCACTCATTCTTGAGCATAATTTGTTTGTTTTGTGAATTTTCGGCATGCAACAAGTAGAACCACATCTAAAAAACATACAAAACATACAAGATAATGTACAGGTCGATCTATATACAACTATCGTTTTAAAAATAAAATATTTAATTTGATTTAGTTCGGACGCACACTGCGTCATTCGATCTGTCATCGGCTGATAATTTAGACCGTTGCGTTCTAACATTCCATCGAAGAGTATTTTCTCGGTCGCTTGAAAATCATGTTTGATCACAATATATATTGATTTTCATTCACAAAGATACATTTAAAGGTTTGTTTCAAGGCAAAAAACAAGGATTCGTTACAGATTACTTACCTCGATTCTTCGCTAGGATTTTCCAGTTTTCTATCTAATTAGGATTCCTCATCGCTAGAGATACCACCATGCTCACTTCCATCGTCAAAAATCGTCTCTAAAGCCTTAGCTATGCTGTATCTCTAGCGTTTCGCATCGGACGCCATTATCGCAGATTGAAATCGTACGCAAGTGATTTTCGGATCGGGCTCCCGAGGTCACGTTTGATAGTTCGGAGCTAAAACTCGCCATGTGATTGGCTTAGAATGTTTACATACTACAGCCGGAATTTCAGAGCGATCGGATGTAATCCGAGCATTTCCGAAAAGGTCAACGTCATCGTGCAATTTTGCACGATCGGCCCCAGGGCTTGACCACGAAGTTAAGCACTCGAAGAGAAATTCCATATCTACGCACGCCCATGTAATATTCTCTATTTATTACGTCAAAAGCAATGTTACGTGCAAAAGCACAACATCTTCTGATATTTTTATGGCAGTTGTGTTACTACACGAGACAGTTTTTCAAGGTCAAAGTCTGTCTCAGAATCTCATAAATTCACTTAATCTGCTAATTGCAAAGCAAGTCTAAAAATACTGTAATTTTGGTTTTATATTATTTATCTTTGTCAGGTGTTAGCCCTCTTTTTCAACGACAATACATAATCTGCAAGGCGTTGATTTGTTTCTGTCTTTCTTTAACATCTCACTTTGTTTTCATACCGCGAATATTGGAAAGTAGAGACCTTTTGTAACGCAACGATCAAATTTCACAGTTCTTAACAAATTATTGGCATGCATTCATTTCGAATAAGACCGACTTCTTTGCAACAGGGCTCCGTTGGAATCTGTCTCTGCTAAGTTTTGTCTTAATTGCCGATATCTTTTTTTTAAGGCACAGAGCCTAAATGAGTGAACTCGATCGGGGTCGGAAGCATAATAACAGTGAAGAACAGATTCTGAAAGTTTCCATTATGTTTGTCATTATTGCATTATATTCTAATATTCCATGTACGGATATCTCTTTCCTTCGAAAAAGACAAGGTGAGAAGAAATCCGAAAAATATATAGGGCCGGTTGTTATCGCGAGGTCTAACAATGCACGGTTTTAATCAATCGGTGGACTTCAGACTTTCTCGATGACCTCTAATTTAATTAAATAAGATTTGTGAATAAGTAAAAGATGTTTAAATACGTTCAAGGACGATGGTGTAAATCAGAAGGCCTTGTATTTACACTACTCTTAACATAACTCATATTTGAACGGGAATTTGACTGGTAATCTTTCGATCAATACATCGTCTCATTGATTTTTTATGGTCCTATTTTACGTTCAATTAGGAGCCTGTTGGATTTTCCGCATCAATTTTCAACTTCTAAGTGAGCGTGCCGTGGCTTGTATTTAAACAATTTCGGTTCGTTTTGAACAGGAAATGATTGCTTGTCAAAAATCTGTGGCTTACCCGAAGAAGCAGATACCTCATCAAAGCAAGCGAGAGTTGAGATGAAGATTGTGCTCCAAAGCAGAAAAGCCTTCTTGAGTCCTTTCATGTCTACGTTTGCTGTTGTGCACCGAGTAGGGTGAGACGGCTTCATTCTGAGAAATTTTAGTCATGGATATCATAACACGTAAGAGAGGGGCCTGGGTAGAATTTAAATAGGACGTGAACTGGGCGATAACGCTCTGCTGGACTTACTGGTAGATAAGATTTGACAAAGCCCCCGATGAAACTTCAGGAAAATACTATCTTTTTAATTACTCCTATAAAATAGATCTCGGTTCAAAAGGGCTTAAATGGCCTCGTATGTTCGTATATGCAGTGGCGGGACATTGGCGGGGAGGATAGGCGATTGAATTTTTATATAAGGGTATTATTTGTCTCGCATCCCCGTTAGAATCATAAAAGCGATAACTAAGTAACATTAAGTTCAGAGACTGAATACATTAAACCAGAAATGTCTCAAATAAACTCGAGCCAAGTATACGGCCTTGGTCATCAACGAGTGCTCTTTAAGCTCCATGGTAGATCATCGAACCGTGAATTCCGAAGGTCTGTGGTTCGATTTGTCAAAGCGGACTCAGATTTTTCCTTCGTTCAGCATTTGTGACAAATTAACAACATGTTTCTTCGTCAACAGTAGAACTCAAAATTTATTATATGTGACCCTCCGCGGGATTCAGGGAATAAGGTGAACGCACGCACACGGCACGCTCGCACGCTAAAACAAAAGAACTAGCTTTTAACACGAGATCTTTATTTCACACGAATACATGATATCTTTTCATGCTTGAAGATCACTGTTGCTATAGTTATATATGAAAATTGCGCCTTTCGATGTGTTGCCTTCGACTTTGAGAAACATTTACGCTTACTTTTTTTGTTATTATTTTTTATTTCATCATGTAAAGTGCTTAGTTTGTGCAAGCTCCTTAAGTTTTGCCATTGAACGTTTTTCTCACTCTTTGTCTTGCCTTGAACATTATTTACTGCAGTCCATCAGCAACAATGAAGAACTCCGAACGCTCGTAATAGCGAGCTTAATGCTTTAACTCATAACATAGCTTTGCGTAGTCTTCTCCTCAGTGATGTAGTCAGATATGGCCTCTCAGCGTTGTATTATACCCAGGTTCGCAGGCTTTCTGGAATATGCCTTGAACTTTGTGAACAGTACAAGCCGGGCGCGATAAGTCAGGGTAGGCGAGGACCTGAGGAAAAAGTATGCAGACGGCAGCCGGGGGAGGGTGTGTGGGAAAGGGTTATATGTCTCATTCAGAATATTGTAGGCGGTCCTGAATCGTCTGCTCGAGGAAGGACTCACCCAGCACAGTCCCTGCTGAAAGATCTGAAGGAGAGGTAGGAGATATTATCGAGAGTAAGTGAAAGTAAACAGAACGCATTTCGCATGGCTAATTTGGAGTATACAGCTTCTTTACGTTCAGGTGTACTGAAACAATATTTTCCCCCTCACGATACTCAAGATTCTCGTATTTGCACCTCGGGAAATCTTGGCTTGTTAAGATGATAACTATTATTCCTAAACATCTACATGAGTATGCAAACCTTCAAGCTATGTAGAGAGTTTTCAAATATTGATCTGCAGATATTGTATCATTGTGTACTTACCACTCGTTGGATCTATAACCGAGACAAGCTATCATCATCATCATCATAACGTAAACCTCGTGCTTGTAAGTATTTTTTTCAGCTCAATCGTTGGCAATCTACAGTGAGTTCATAGCTATTCTGTATAAATTTAAGACTTTATGATTCATACCTATCAAATCAACAGCGATATCGTAACAACGGCTTAAGATGTAAACACGACCAAGCCCTCAAGAAAGTTAGAATTTATAGTAGAAGTGTAATATAGCGAACCTGCACATGTCGCCGCTTGTTCAATATTGATATCATTGATAAAATTGAATACAGCCAGATAATGGCAAATGTATCGTCACTGAGTCTTAAACACATAAAGACAGTGAAGATCCATTCTACGATTATAAATCGAGTGATTGATGCGCAGAAGCATGGAATCATCTGACAGGCCCCATACATAAGATTGTTGCGATGTTGTTTGATTGATTGTCATGATCTACAACTGCCTCAACCTTATGAAGACTATTGACGACCCTGTATCGATTCGTGATCCAGGGTCGTCAAGTTATTAGATCTCTTTCACCGTACATTGATTGATCCATGTACAGAGATATGAGATCAACCGCGTGGTCCCGAGAATTAACGGTGCAACGATGTTAGGTCGACTATCGCGGTCTACAATCGCTGCAAACGTTGGGCGTAAAGACCACTGACGATCTAGAATCGATTCGTCATGCGACGCAATGAATACAACAAGTAAAAACTAGCGAAAACCACTTAAATTCCATTACATTTTGATAGTACCAATAGTTCGCATCTCTCGTACCTGGACAAGCAAGGTCTGGTCCAATCCACGTTCCATTTTCAGCACACCTCTTTATTGTTGCACCAATCGCTTCAGATCCTTCCTTACAAAAGAACCTGCATTCAGTGTCATATGACATCTCTGTGTTATTGGTGTTACATCCCAAGAGGACACCATTCCTCGGTAATGACAAGGTCGGGCACTTTAAAGCTGAAGAAGAAATCCGATTATAATTAGCATGACACTCATCTTTCGAGTACATCACAACCTGGCATTTAATTCTGACTACAGAGAGAAATAAGTTCAGCAGAAGCCATGCAGACATTTGATGTCGGGTAGAAATGGTTCTCCGATCCTCGGCTAAAAAATTTTCGCTTAACACGGCATGTAGTGTCTTTTATAAATGTATATGAGGCAAACAAAATAGTAAGACCAAAATCAAAACTACAACAGTGTCAAATAAACATGATTTAAAAAAGCTCACAATCAGGTATAACAAGGGGATAGTTTGGAGTTTCATAACTCTCGCATTTCATCAACTATCGACTGAAGAATTACCTCTCTTATTGGTTTTAGACTGAATGGTTATTGACTGCGCGTGTGGGAGAACTAAATGAACTGGAATAATTATATTGGTTGGCCGAGTTCTTAGACACAGCCCTGTGTTAGAACTGAGCTGCAAATGCAATTTATCATCAGCGATGTACAGTTGATGACTAAAAAATAGAAAGAAGCTGAGATAAACTAACATTTTGCGCATTCAGATATCAATGACTTCTTGTTCGTTTTGACGTATGAACATTACTCTTTCTATCCGATAAACTTTGGGAACCTACTTTGACAAACAAAGTTCTGTCCACTCCAAGTTCCATCGTACTGACACCTTCTGACTTGAGATCCTGATCCTACATAGCCATTATTACACGTGAACCGACAAACGGTACCGTTATATAATGGCAAATTTCCTGGACATCCATATCTTGTTCCATGAGTCGGTGGAGACAGTACTGGACATGTGATCTCTGCAATATAACACACATTGATAATAATCAATATGGTTATAAAATAATTGAAAGTTTTATTAATTTTCAAAAGCAAGAAGCCAAATAACAACGTTGATTAAATACAACATTTAAACTCAATTTTTTATTTTTCCAATTTACATTTACCTTCGCATGCAGGTAAAGAGTTGATAATACTAAATAACCTAGGAATACGTTTACAAAGACCATTTCGATCCCCTTAGAGACTTTCCTAGACCTCCTAAAGATGAAAACAAAATTTGGGCGGACTACCCTAAAATCAATGGCTCTTATGGACTGGAATTTGCTATCATGAAATCGAAAGTCAAAAACACTTGCTTCTTTTAAAATTAACCGGTGTTCGCAAACTCGTTGAATAATGACGTCACCATTCATTTACGCAGAAGACTTATTGGAAAATTCTCATGGTTCCTTAGAAACGCTCGACCATTTTACCACGTTCCTATATGTACTTATATGCTTTTATTCAAACACTCCCCTAAGAAAAGTCCTAGATTGCTCTAAGGAAAAAGAACCTCTTTGCTTTCGGCCTCTTGACGCTATTCACAATAATGAATGTTCGGATAAAAGATTCAGCTAAATTCAAGATAGTTTAAAACGCGGTTTTGTTAAACATCGCCCAGAATGCTATTGTTTCCCGCGACATGTACTTACAGTGCCCAATTTATCAACGGGCGGAATAATAATTTCCAGGTCTAGAACTAGTCGGCTGTTATTGGCCAACAGATTTAGCTTTGGGAATACTTGAGTCTCTTTGCAGATTTCCGCTGCTGTCAATCAAACGGTTGGATGTGTAAAGTAAATCCCAAGGTGCGATAGAGTTTACAAGAGCGTGCGAGGCACGGGTCACTCACTTGAACTTCACGCTCGCGCTCTTTTACTGTGCCGGTTAACGCACAGTATGACCGAGAGCATATTACCGGATTTTTTTTCTCTTTGAATTCCGGACGGCAAAGAGAAAAACAAACAAATACCCGCCTTAAACAGGCTTACGCCTGAGGGAATAGTTAGATAATTATTCGTATTTGGATCCGTTTTGAACTACTCCTCGAATGAAAATACGGGAGAACCACCCGAACATTTGCCGGAAGATCTCGTCACCGGCTTCGAGAACAGGTCTGTCGATCCGCTTCGTGCCGATGAGTGCATTTTTTTAAATTAGCTTTTAAATTTAGCGCCAGTGTCTCAATGAAAGTCTCGGATATGTCGCTGAGTTCTGGGCGATGAGAACGGCTACACTTTGTCTTAATAACCGGCCCCTAAAAAATACAGCTTAAAAAGTACTAATATTAATATTAAAACGCATATAATTATTATTTCAGTGTTAGTGTATGGACAGTTAAAACTCGTCAAAGAGAAGGGCCTGTGGTTTGTTTTTCGATTTAAACTCGCATAGTTCCTCAACTCCCCTAGCAAGGAGTTCCATGCTGCTTCACCTTTGCAGTAAAAATTCCGCTGACCAGAGGTACACTTGTACACGGCAGCGACTCATATTCACTCCCACCAGACACCGAATGTACTGACTTGCCGGTGGTTATTTACAAAATAAAACGGAATATATTACAAATCGGTCATTACCAGGCTTCGAGGACCTACTTTGACAAGAATAATTCTGTCCACTCCAAGTTCCATTGCGCTGACATCTTCGTACTTGAGAGCCAGATCCTACATAGCCATCCTCACACGAGAACTGACAGGTTGCATTCCTCGAACATATGGCTCTTGTACCACTGGATGGTGAAGGCACTGGACATGTTATCACTGTAATGAAAAAGGAACAAAACTCAAGTGAAAATCTACCCAAAGTAAACACAGGAGGAATGCACTCGACAGCAGCCAATTGATTTGCGATTTTTGACCAATTTCTCGTAAGAAACAAAATATGGCCGAAATGCTGTTTTTATTGAGAACTCTGTGTTAAGTTGCATTTTAAAGCGTATGTCAGCTTCCTAGCCAACTGGGAGATATTTTGTCGAGTTTTAGTTTTTAACTGGTATTGGCAACTTTTCGATTTGTAGTTTATAATTACTGCCTCTCCCTTTACATTCAAAACGAAAGGGGTCCATTTTTCTCTTTTGATACCAATCTGACAGTGGAATTATACAAATGTAATTTTACAACCGCTTACATACAGCAATGAAGTAATTAGCGAAAGTGGTCAATGTCGCTTTTGCTTGGGATCATTGTTTATATCGGACTAGACTGCCAAAGTCTTCAATCACAGGATTAAAATTCCAAGTTCCAGAATAACCAGTTCAAGTTTGAATAATTTGATGGCAAACCTGGTAACTGCAAGGAGCTATCATATGCAACAAGACCATAAAAGCCTCCCCAGTAGCTTGTGACGGTTACATTACTTTTAACTTTTCCATTGGAGGGATTCAGTCTGTAAACGCTCCTTGATAACCACCGGTTAGTGGCGAATAAATCAGACGAGATAAAAGTAAGTCCAAAAAAGTTGACTCCATCTCTTTGAAAAACTTTCCTTCTATTGTTGCCATTATAGTCTATGGACTCTATCAAGTTCCATTGACTCAGCCAGAATATAAGCTTTCTTCTTCTATCAAGAGTGATACCAGTTGAATACGTAACATTATGTACCGCTATAGTGACATGCTGTGTTCCGTATAAAGTTGATCTTTCCACCTTAGAAATATTTCCAGTGTCAATCCAAAACATCAATCTGTGGAGAAAATCACTCAGCTGCATCGGTTATTAGATTTATAAGCAATTTACTTCACCATTTTATCTCAACCTTAGATTTTCACTGAAAAAGTCTCCACTAACTTATAATTGGTTTGCGGGATCTTCCACGCTTTCATAAAGTACTTACCCTTGGTGTGGATCAAGAACGATATCGGTTGGTCCAGAGAGCGAAGTGAAAACAATGCGTTTGTCATTTCCATCGAGGTCTGATACCATTATAGTTTTGTTGTGATAACCGGTCCAATACAACTGCAGTGAGTCCCACTCTACTGCCAAACCATAACAGGAAGTCTCATTGTGAATAACGGTGATGTTTGTGCCGTCCATATTCGAGCGCTGGATACTTAGAAAGTTGCACCAAAATATGTAGCCCTTATTGTAATGAAAGTCTACATCTATAGCTGATGATAAATTGGAAACGACTGGAAATATCGACTTGTTGTCGTAATCCAAAGCTAATACGCGGTCTACATTTGCAACCAGAAGACATGGCGAGTTGCACGAATGCCTCATTGCTATGAAGAAGAACAAACAAAGGAAAATAATCGTAAACAACCAAAATACATTTTTTTTAAAAATTCAGTGGCGAATTCATGACGATCGACCTCAAATAAAGATTTGGCACTGGTGAGGAATTGTCACATTCCTCACATCCCACCCCTCCCTCCCCCTCCCCCTCCCTCTCCCCCTCCTCCCCCCCCCCCAAAAAAAGAAAAATGTGCACAATAAACTTAATATTTCTGATCTCATAGTCCGTTTTTTTCGCCCATGATAAGGGGAATGTACATTTTTCTACGGGAAAAATGGTTATGAGCCATCATTCTCCCTCCCGCTGAGTCGTTTAGAAGAAAGACAATAGAAAATTCGATTTTCAAAATATTAAATGTTTTGGTGAAGCGTTGCTCAGCCTAGTTCACTTTATCAAGCATGTTCTTTGAACAAGTATGATATTATCAAAAGGACTCCCCAGTCCTGAATACAGAATAAAGACGAAACAAACTTGAATATTAGAGAAATAAGTTTTGCTTCCGTCTCTGAAGGAGGGCACTCAGAGGCACAAACATGTTGTGCGCACATTCTCTTTTCTCGATCGATATTCACTATCTGATTGTTTTCTACTGCATACGAAGTAATGGAGTCCAGATTTCACATTAGCATGAATTTCAAATTTCCAAAAGTTGATTTATTATGTCAAAAGCGATGTTACATACAAAAGCACAAAATCTTCTAATATTTTTTTTGATAAAAACGAATGCGGAACTTTTTTTCCGTTTTGTTTTCATGGCAGTTGCGTTACTACACAAGACAGTTTTTCAAGGTCAAAGTCTGTCTCAGAATCTCATCAATTCACTTAATCTGCTAATTGTAAAGCAAATCTAATGATACTGAAATTATCATGGTTTATTTTATTTATCTTTATCAGACGTTAGCCCTCATTTTCAATGGCAACATTTAATTCTGCATGCAATGAATTGTTGTTTTTTTTCTTTCTTTTACATCTCACTTTGTTTTCATACCGCAAATATTGGAAAGTAAAGACCTTCTGTAACGCAACGATCAAATTCCACGGTTGTTAACAAATTGTTAGTATGCATTAATTTCGAATAAGACCGACTTCTTTACAACAGGGCTCCGTTGGAATCTGTCTTTACTAAGTTTTGTTTTAATTGCCGATATGGTTTTTTTTTCTTTTTTGAGGCACAGAGCCTAAATGAGTGAACTCGATCGGGGTCGGAAGCATAATAACAGTGAAGAACAGATTCCGAAAGTTTCCATTATTTTTGTCATTATTGCATTATATTATAATACTCCATGTAAGGATGTCTCTTTCCTTCGAAAAAAGACAGGGTTACAAGAAATCCCAAAAATACGTAGGGCCGGTTGTTATCAGGAGGTCTAACACAATGCACGGTTTTACGCAATCAGTGGACTTCAGACTTTCTCGATGACCTCTCATTTAATTAAATAAATGTCTCTGCACTGCTAGCTTTCGGTCCTTTTGACACTGTTCACAGAAATAAATGTTCAGATTAAAGTTTTAGCTAAATTGAAGATTAAAGGGTTTAAGTTTCTAAAGAAACTGTGGTGCTACGTCGTTGGGAGAGTATAGCAGGGTAATTTAAAATTAGCGACTTGGTTGATAATGTAAATTGGCCACCGTAAAGAGTTTGAAATTGTTTAGGACGCGGCTTTGTTAAGCAACGTCTAACCTTTATTTAAATAATCAGACCATGGTGTCATAAAGAGGTTTATGAATAAATAAAAGATGTATAAATACGTTCGAGGACAATGGTGTAAATCAGAAGGCCTTGTAATTACACTACTCTTGGCATAACTCCTATTTGAACTCAATGACTGGTAATCTTTCGATCAATACATCGTCAATTGATTTTTTCTGGTCCTATTTTACCTTTAGTTAGGAGCCTGTTGGCTTTTCCGCATCAACTTTCAACTTCTAATTGAGCGTGCCGTGGCTTGTATTTAAACAATTTTGGTTCGTTTTGAACAGGAAATGATTACTTGTCAAAAATCTGTGGCTTACCCAAAGAAGCAGATACCTCATGAAACCAAGCGAGACTTAAGATGAAGATTGTGCTCCAAAGCAGAAAAGCCTTCTTGAGTCCTTTCATGTCTACGTTTGCTGTTGTGCGCCGAGTAGGGTGAGACGGCTTCAATCTGGGGAATTTTAAGTCATGGATATTGTAACACGTAAGAGAGGGGCCTGGGTAGAATTTAAATAGGAGGTGAACTGGTGATAATGTTCCGCTGGACTTATCCATAGATAAGATTTGACAAAGCCCCCGATGAAACTTCACCAAAATTCTATCTTCTTTATTACTCCTATAAAATAGATCTCGGTTCAAAAGGGCTTAAATGGCCTCGTATGTTCGTATATGCAGTGGTGAGACGTTAGTGGGGGAGATGTGCGATTGAATTTTTATATAAGGGTATTATTTGTCTCGCATCTCCGTTAGAATCATAAAAACGATAACTAAGTAACATTGAGTTCAGAGGCTGAATACATTAAACCAGAAATGTCTCAAATAAACTCGAGCCACGTATACGGCCTTGGTCATCAACGAGTGCTCTTTAAGCTCCATAGTAGATCATCGAACCGTGAATTCGGAAGGTCTGTGGTTCGATTTGTCAAAGCGGACTCAGATTTTTCCTTCGTTCAGCATTTGTGACAAATTAACAACATGTGTCTTCGTCAACAATGGAACTCAAAATTTATTATATGTGACCCTCCGCGGGATTCAGGGAATAAGGTGAACGTACGCACACGGCACGCTCGCACGCTAAAACAAAACAACTAGCTTTTAACACGAGATCTTTATTTCGCGCGAATATATGATATCTTCACACACATGAAGATCACTGTTGCTATAGTTATATATGAAAATCGCGCCTTTCGATGTATTGCCTTCGACTTTGAGAAACATTTACGCTTACTTTTTTTGTTATTATTTTTTATTTCATCATGTTAAGTGCTTAGTTTGTGCAAGCTTCTTAAGTTTTGCCATTGAACGTTTTTCTCACTCTTTGTCTTGCGTTGAACATTATTTACTGCACTCCATCAGCAACAATGAAGAACTCCGAACGCTCGTAATAGCTTAATGCTTTAACTCATAACATACCTTTGCGTAGTCTTCTCCTCAGTGATGTAGTCAGATATGACCTCTCAGCGTTGTATTATACCCATGTCCGCAGGCTTTCTGGAATATGCCTTGAACTTTGTGAACAGGACAAGCCAGGCGCGATAAGTCAGGGTAGGCGAGGACCTGCGGAAAAAGTATGCAGACGGCAGCCAGGAACGGGTGTGTGGGAAAGGGTTATATGTCTCATTCAGAATACTGTAGGCGGTCCTGAATCGTCTGCTCGAGGAAGGACTCACCCAGCACAGTCCCTGCTGAAAGATCTGAAGGAGAGTTAGGAGATATTATCGAGAGTAAGTGAAAGTAAACAGAACGCATTTCGAATGGCTAATTTGAAGTATACAGCTTTTTTACGTTCAGGTGTAATGAAACAATATTTTCCCTCTCATGATACTCAAGCTTCTCGTATTTGCACCTCGGGAAATCTCGGCTTGTTAAGATGATAACTATTATTCCTAAACATCTACATGAGTATGCAAACCTTCAAGCTATGTAGAGAGTTTTCAAACATCGATCTGCAGATATTGTATCATTGTGTACTTACCACTCGTTGGATCTATAACCGAGACAAGCTATCATCATCATCATCATAACGTAGATCTCTTGCTTGTAGGTGTTTTTTTCAGCTCAATCGTTGGCAATCTACAGTGAGTTCATAGCTATTCTGTATAAATTAAAGACTTTATGATTCATACCTATCAAATCAACAGCGATATCGTAACAACGGCTTAAGATGTAAACAGGACCAAGCCCTCAAGAAAGTTAGAATTTATAGTAGAAGTGTAATATAGCGAACCTGCACATGCTGCCGCTTATTCAATATTGATATCATTGAGAAGATTGAATACGGCGGGATAATGGCAAATGTATCGTCACTGAGTCTTAAACACATAAAGACAGTGAAGATCCATTCTACGATTATAAATCGAGTGATTGATGCGCAGAAGCATGGAATCATCTGACAGGCCCCATACATAAGATTGCTGCGATGTTGTTTGATTGATTGTCATGATCTACAACTGCTTCAACCTTATGAAGACTATTGACGACCCTGTATCGATTCGTGATCCAGGGTCGTCAAGTTATTAGATCTCTTTCACCGTACATTGATTGATCCATGTACAGAAATATGAGATCAACCGCGTGGTCCCGAGAATTAACGGTGCAACGATGTTAGGTCGACTATCGCGGTCTACAATCGCTGCAAACGTTGGGCGTAAAGACCACTGACGATCTCGAATCGATTCGTCATGCGACGCAATGAATACAACAAGTAAAAACTAGCGAAAACCACTTAAATTCCATAACATTTTGATAGTACCAATAGTTGACATATCTCGTACCTGGACAAACAAGGTCTGGTCCAATCCACGTTCCATTTTCAGCACACCTCTTTATTGTTGTACCAATCGCTTCAGATCCTTCCTTACAAAAGAACCTGCATTCAGTGTCATATGACATCTCTGTGTTATTGGTGTTACATCCCAAGAGGACACCATTCCTCGGTAATGACAAGGTCGGGCACTTTAAAGCTGAAGAAGAAATCCGATTATAATTAGCATGACACTCATCTTTCGAGTACATCACAACCTGGCATTTAATTCTGACTATAGAGAGAAATAAGTTCAGCGGAAGCCATGCAGACATTTGATGTCGGGTAGAAATGGTTCTCCGATCCCCGGCTAAAAAATTTACGCTTAACACGGCATGTAGTGTCTTTTATAAATGTATATGAGGCAAACAAAATAGTAAGACCAAAATCAAAACTAGAACAGTGTCAAATAAACATGATTTTAAAAAGCTCACAATCAGGTATAACAAGGGGATAGTTTGGAGTTTCATAACTCTCGCATTTCATCAACTATCGACTGAAGAATTACCTCTCTTTTTGGTTTTAGAAAAACTCAATGGTTATTGACTGCGCGTGTAGGAGAACTAAATGAACTGGAATAATTATATTGGTTGGCCGAGTTCTTAGACACAGCCCTGTGTTAGAACTGAGCTGCAAATGCAATTTATCATCAGCGATGTACAGTTGATGACTAAAAAATAGAAAGAAGCTGAGATAAACTAAAAATTTTTTGCACAATCAGTTATCAACGACTTCTTGTTCGTTTTGACGTATGAACATTACTCTTTCTATCTGATAAACTTTGGGAACCTACTTTTACAAACAAAGTTCTGTCCACTCCAAATTCCATCGTACTGACACCTTCTGACTTGAGATCCTGATCCTACATAGCCATTATTACACGTGAACCGACAGACGGTACCGTTATATAATGGCAAATTTCCTGGACATCCATATCTTTTTCCATGAGTTGGTGGAGACAGTACTGGACATGTGATCTCTGCAATACAACACACATAGATAATAATCAATATGGTTATAACATAATTAAAAGTTTTATTAACTTTCAAAAGCAAGAAGCCAAATAAAAATGTTGATTAAATAAAACATTTAAACTAAATTTTTCTTTTCCAATTTACATTCACCTTCGCATGCAGGTAAGGAGTTGATAATACTAAATAACCTAGGAATACGTTTACAAAGACCATTTCGATCCCCTTAGAGACTTTCCTAGACCTCCTAAAGATGAAAACAAAATTTGGGCAGACTACCCTAAAATCAATGGCTCTTATGCACTGGAATTTGCTATCAAGAAATCGAAAGTAAAAAACACTTGCTTCTTTCAAAATCAACCGGTGTTCGCAAACTCGTTGAATAATGACGTCACCATTCATTTACGCAGAAGACTTATTGGAGAATTCTCATGGTTCCTTAGAAGCGCTCGACCATTTAACCACGTTCCTATATGTACTTGTATGCTTTTATTCAAACATTCCCCTAAGAAGAGTCCTAGATAGCTCTAAGGAAAAAGAAACTCTTTGCTTTCGGCCTCCTGACGCTATTCGCAGTAATGAATGTTCAGATAAAAGATTCAGCTAAATTCAAGATAGTTTAGAACGCAGTTTTGTTAAACATCGCCTAGAAAGCTAATGTTTCTCGCGACATGAACTTACAGTGCCCAATTTATCAACGCGCGGCATAATTTGCAGGTCTAGAACTAGTCGGCTATATTGGCCAACAGATTTAGCTTTGGGAATACTTGAGTCTCTTTGCAGATTTCAGCTGCTGTCAATCAAACGGTTGGATGCGTAAAGTAAATCCCAAGGTGCGATAGAGTTTACAAGAGCGTGCGAGGCACGGGTTACTCACTTGAACTTCACGCTCGAGCTCTTTTACTGCGCCGGTTAACGCACAGTATGACCGAGAGCATATTACCGGATTTTTTTTCTCTTTGAAGTCCGGACGGCAAAGAGAAAAACAAACAAATACCCACCTAAAACAGGCTTACGCCTGAGGGAATAGTTAGATAATTATTCATATTTGGATCCGTTTTGATTAATCAAAACACCTGAAAGAGTCAAGTTTTATTCAATCCATTCAGTTGAATGAGAGATAACATGTCCAAGCGTTTGAGACATCAGCCAGGCTTTTACGCGACATTATTCAATGATGTTTGCGATCGTGCCTGTAATTCAAAATACCGCCCAATTGTTGTGGGCGTTTACGAAGTCGAGCGTATTGTCACAAAACGAGTGAAAGGAGGCAGAGAGAAGTACTTAATTCAATGGCAGAACTACTCCTCGAATGAAAATACATGGAAACCACCCGAAAATTTGCCGGAAGATCTCATCACCGCCTTCGAGAACAGGTCTGTCGATCCGCTTCGTGCCGATGAGTGCATTTTTTAAATTAGCTTTAAATTTAGCGCCAGTGTCTCTATTAAAGTCTCGGATATGTCGCTGAGTTCTGGGCGATGAGAACGGCTACAATTTGTCTTAATAACCGGCCCCTAAAAAATACAGCTTAAAAAGTACTAATATCAATATTAAAACGCATATAATTATAATTTCAGTGTTAGTGTATGGACTGTTAAAACTCGTCAAAGAGAAGGGCCTGTGGTTTGTTTTTCGATTTAAACTCGCATAGTTCCTCAACTCCCCTGGCAAGGAGTTCCATGCTGCTTCACCTTTGCAGTAAAAATTCCGCTGACCAGAGGTACACTTGTACACGGCAGCGACTCATATTCACTCCCACCAGACACCGAATGTACTGACTTGCCGGTGGTTATTTACAAAATAAAACGGAATATATTACATATCGGTCATTACCAAGCTTCGAGGACCTACTTTGACAAGAATAATTGTGTCCACTCCAAGTTCCATTGCGCTGACATCTTCTTACTTGAGAGCCAGATCCTACATAGCCATCCTCACACGAGAACTGACAGGTTGCATTCCTCGAACATATGGCTCTTGTACCACTGGATGGTGAAGGCACTGGACATGTTATCACTGTAATGAAAAAGGAACAAAACTCAAGTGAAAATCTACCCAACGTAAACACAGGAGGAATGCACTCGACAGCAGCTAATTGATTTGCGATTTTTGACCAATTTCTCGTACGAAACAAAATATGGCCAAAATGCTGTTTTTATTGAGAACTCTGTGTCAAGTTGTATTTTAAAGTGTATGTCAGCTTCCGAGCCAACTGGGAGATATTTTGTCGAGTTTTAGTTTATAACTGGTATTAACAACTTTTAGATTTGTAGTTTATAATTACTGCCTCTTAATTTACATTCAAAACGAAAGGGGTCCATTAGTTTCTTTTGATACTAATCTGACGGTGGAATTATACAAATGTAATTTTACAACCGCTTTCATACAGCAATGAAGTAATTCGCGAAAGTGGTCAATGTCGCTTTTGCTTGGGATCATTTTTTATATCGGACTAGACTGCCAAAGTCTTCAATCACAGGATTAAATTTCCAAGTTCCAGAATAACCAATGCAAGTTTGAATAATTTGATGGCAAACCTGGAAACTGCAAGGAGCTATCATATGCAACAAGACCATAAGCGTCTCTCCAATAGCCTTCGATGGTTACATTACTTTTAACTTTTCCATTGGAGGGATTCAGTCTGTAAACGCTGCCTGGTAACGACGATTCAGTAGCGAATAAATCAGACGAGATAAAAATAAGTCCAAAAAATTCAACTCCATCTCTTTGAAAAACTTTCCTTCTATTGCTGCCGCTATAGTCTATGGACTCTATCAAGTTCAATTGACTCAGCCAGAATATAAGCTTTCTTCTTCTATCAAGGGTGATACCAGTTGAATACGGATAATTATGTACCGCTATAGTGACACGCTGTGTTCCGTATAAAGTTGATCTTTCCACCTTAGAAATATTTCCCCTATCAGTCCAAAACATCAATCTGTGGAGAAAATCACCCAGCTGTATCGGTTATTAGATTTATCAGCAATTTACTTCACCATTTTATCTCAACCTTAGATTTTCTTTTAAAAAGTCTTCCTAATTAATAATTGGTTTGCGGGATCTTTCACGCGTTCATACAGTACTTACCCTTGGTATGGATCGAGAACGATATCGGTTGGTCCAGAGAGCGAAGTGAAAACAATGCGTTTGTTATTTCCATTGAGGTCTGATACCATTATAATTTTGTTGTAATAATCAGTCCAATACAGCTGCAGTGAGTCCCATTCTACTGCCAAACCATAACAGTAAGTCTCATTGTGGATAACGATGATGTTTGTGCCGTCCATATTCGAGCGCTGGATACTTACAATGTTGCTCCAAAATATGTAGCCCTTATTGTAATGAAAGTCTACATCTACAGCGAATGATAAATTGGAAACGACTGGAAATATCGACTTGTTGTCGTAATCCAAAGCTAATATGCGGTGTTTATTTGCAACCAGAAGACATGGTGAGTTGCACGAATGCCTCATTGCTATGAAAAAGAACAAACAAAGGAAAATAATCGTAAACAACCATAATACATTTTTTTAAAAAATTCAGAGGCGAATTAATGATAATCGACCTCAAATAAAGATTTGGTACCGGTGAGGAATTGCCATCATATCCCACCCTTCCCCCCCCCAAAAAAAAAAATATATATATATCTAGATATATATAGTCTTAATATATTCTGATATCCGTTTTTTTCGATAAAAACAATTGACAATAGAAAATTCGATTTTCAAAATATTAAATGTTTTGGTGAAGCGTTGCTTTTTTTTCCGTTTTGTATGATATTATGGACTCCCCAGTCCTGAATACAGAATAAAGACGAAACCAACTTGAGTATTAGAGAAATAAGTTTTGTTTCCGTCTCTAGAGGGCACTCAGAGGCACAAACATTCTCTTTTCTCGATCGACAGTTTTTCAAGGTCAAAGTCGATGTTCTCAGTCTTCAGAATCTCATCAGTTCACTTAATCTGCTAATTGTAAAGCAAATCTAATGATACTGAAATTATCATGGTTTATTTTATTTATCTTTTTAATGACAACATTTAATTCTGCAGTGCATTGTTGTTTTTTCTCTTTCTGTAACATCTCACTTTGTTTTCATACCGCAAATAGTGAAAAGTAAAGACCTGCTATAACGCAACGATCAAATTCCACGGTTGTTAAAAAATTATTAATATGCATTCCTTTTGAATAAGACCGACTCCTTTGCAACAGGGCTCCGTTGGAATCTGCTGTGCTAAGTTTTGTTTTAATAACCGATATCTTTTTTTTTAAGGCACAGAGCCTAAATGAGTGAGCTCGATCGGGGTCGGAAGCATAATAACAGTGAAGAACAGATTCCGAAAGTTTTCATTATGTTTGTCATTATTGCATTATATTCTAATACTCCATGTATGGATATCTCTTTCCTTCGAAGAAAGAAAAGGTTACAAGAAATCCGACGTTATTTATTAAAAAGAAAAACTTCCGATCCCACGTGCTCACATTTCACCTTTACAATTGACCTTTTATAGTTTGTTCATTATTGCTTTTCTTGTAATCGACTCGCGGTTAGCGCTACACGGCCAGTGTATGAATTGATAGATTTCACGCTTCCACTTACTTTCTGCATGCGGATCCACTCTTCAGGAATTAAATTTACATTTTCCCTTCAGTTTAATTCTAAGACTCCTTGTGTTCTTTAGACTGCTTTTCATTTTGTATGCCTAAATTACAACTCCCTGAATATATTCGAAATTCGTCTCGAATTGTATCCAAATTGTACTTATCTCTGTTTTACACAACCAGACATTTTACGAAAATCCTCGTGTTTAAATTTTTTCGTTATTTTCGTAACCAAATTCTTAAAAACTGGTTTCATATTACTATTTTCCCGTCCGGCCCGCCCTAAATCAGTCAATAATCATAAGACAAAGACTTTTTTCCGCCAAACCAAAGATTTGAATTTTTTTTTAAATCTATACTTTGGTGTGTTTTTGCGACAAGATTGCTCTTATAGCGCATTTGATGCCTGTAGCGATATAGCAAACTACGACCTACATGTTCTTTTACTTCAGTAGAGAAATTTGCAATTCATATAAGTAATCTCGAACAAAGGCTGATAAAAAGGAAATGTAATGCTTAAAGCTTCAGCAAAAACGAAAACCACAAACACATGATGGTATTTTGCTATATCTAAAACTCTACACGTTTATTCAGCTTTCTTTATTGTTGTAAGACGTATTCATGTAATAATAATAATAATTCGAGTATTTTTATAGCGCTATTTGCATAGAAATGATCAGTAGCGCTTTCCAATGATTCACCCATAAAACTGTTCTACAACAATCTAAGTATACGATTTAAAATGAGGTCTACTAAAGAGCAAAAAGTGTGTTAATACGATCGAGGACGATGGTGCAGCCTAGGAGGTCTTGTAACACACAGTTCTAACGTTTCTCCTTTTCTTGATCTACTCTATCATACCACTATTGACTTGTACTTGTCCATGTCACGGTAAGCTATGAGCCTGTTGGCTTGTCTGTCTCAATCTCTTACTTCTAGGCGAGAGTGCTATTGCTTATATTAAACAATTTTGGTGCGTTTTGATCAGGGATTGATGACCAAATTGCCCTAAAATTGTGGCCGGAAGTATTTCAAAGAGCATTTGCAATTTGTTCGGCAGGGAATTACATGGACATTTTTCAATCCTTCAATTGTAAAAAATGTACCAAATCTTTACAGTTGTGTAAACAAATGTGTGTCATATCATTTTGCCTTGATAATACAATCAAATATTCAACAGGGTAATAACACTTACCAGAAGAAGCGGACACCGCATGAAAACAAGCGAGACTTGAAATGAAGATTGTACTCAAAAGCATGACACCCTTCTTGGGCCCTTCCATGTCGCCGTTAGTTGTGGTGTATCAGCAGGGTTGAGTCTAATAATGACGTGGTCTCACTCGTAAGACGGTTTCAATAACTGAGTTGCCAGTAACCAGATCCTTGCGTTTGCGCAAGGATCGCCAAGGGACAAGCATGGCAAGTTGCCAACAGGAAATACTCGGCGAGGGGTAATTTCGAAGTTCAAACACACACGATTTTGGTGAGAGATCATCGCTTTTCAGCCGCTTTTTTTTTCTCAAAAATGGATCTAGGTAATGCTGATACGGGGGAAGCGTACGTTTCTGTGAAAATAACCACGAAATATGCTATGAAATCTACATATAAACTTCTCACCTTGCGTTGGGTTTCTTGTGAAATTTACATCGAAATAACATTTCTAGTTTTATTTACGTCTACTTCTGGCTCTTTTCTCGGTTCGGAGAGAAGAAAGAGCGCAAGGATCCGATTACTGGCCACCCATTCATTTCATTTTTATTTTAAATCTCGGATATCATACCATGTAAGAAGAGGGGCTGGGTAGAATTCAAATCGGAGGTGAACCGGGCGATGATGCTCTGTGGGAAATAAGTACATATCCTCTCTCATAGATAGGATTTGACAAAGTTAAGGCCCCGACGAAACTTCACTTAAGTTCCCGATTCTTTACTACTCCCATGTAATAGATCTCTGTTCAAAAAGGGCGTACATGGCCTCGTATGCCCTTTGTATTCACGTCCCTGAATCACATAAGTCCATTGGCGGGACGTTGGTGGAGGACATGGGCAATTGAATTTTTGTAAATGGGCATTATTAGTCTCGCATCCCCGGTGTTGTCACAAAAGCGATAAAGTACACCAAGAGGTATTAGATAGATAAATAACATGGTCTAGAATAACGGAATATAACAATTAATCTCTTGCCTTGAGCCAAATTTTCCCGTACGGACCGACCAAACTCAGTCAAGAGGTACATAAGACAAAGACTATTTTCTGCAAAGCCAAAGATTTGGTCGGAAATTCAAAGATTCTTTCGACTTTTATTATTGACATAACTGTGAAGTTCCAATATCTTGACCTCTTTGGGGGCAGAAAAAATAAATTCAAAACTGCATATGCTTTATCAGCTTTCTTTATTGTTGTAATATGTATTCGTGTCAGCAAAGTGTGCTAATTCCATCAAGAAGCAAATTAAAAAAAAGGATAATAATTTGATTGTTGGTCGTTACAAATTGTCTTAAAATGTAGTGCTCAATTTTCTCAACAAGCCTTTCGTTTATAAGGCAAAGTATCTTTTCTTCCTCATTCAGGCCCCTATGAGGTTTAAAAAATTTTACCCGCCACCCTTTGCGTGACCCAATATCCGGGACTTGCAAGATCGTAGAATAAAGCTGTCAAACGATTAACAGAACCTCCATAATCAATTTTTACCTCGCTGGGTGTGCCATAATGGACGAAACCATGAGAGGGAACCGGATGGGTTCTATGCTTCTGAGTGCAGTGATGATTTTTAGCCTTGCCTGTTTTAATGAGTTGTCAGCCTCTTCGGGTGAGCATTGTTATTATTTGTTCAATATTTGATCTCATCACCAAAAAATATGATCCAGTTATGAACTTTCAGCGTCGTAGCTTTGAACATGAAGCACCTCTCGAAGATTTCCTGTGGTATCCATTAACCAATTCACTCCCAAGATCTCGTTAGTACTGGATTCTCCTTACTGTCTGCCATACAATTCTTGTGATGTTATTTTGGAGAATTTAGTGTTGGATCAACTGATGATCCCTAAATTGATATTTGTCTCTATTCTCATCACTTGTCTGCTTGATGTTGTTTCGTAATTGGAGGGAGAAATTCAGTCTTGGTCACTCATGGGAGTTAAAGGGTTTACCAAGGTCTTTAAATCTTTAAAATTAATGGAGCTAAACATTGTTGTGGTAATAGCCCGAAAACTTAACTTGAAATGTTGTTTAATTAACAAATGAAGAAGCCTTGACTGTGCTCTGTTCTGTTGTAAAGCACACAGCAAGCAGCTAGAGCACGAAAGAAGTGTAAGGAGAAACGTTCGACTATGTCTCGTGTTTCTCGCGACTTCCTAATTGATTTACAACAGAACAGAGCACAGTTAAGGCTTCTTTATTTGTTTCATAAAAAAAGAATCCGTCAAGCTCTCTTAGTATAACTTTCTATTTTCAAAACAAAGTATAATTTTCGAAGCGAAGAAAAGCGTCTTCAGCACGTTTTTAACTTTCTTAAAACACGCTGAAATAAGTCAGTCAGATTCCTTGTTCAAATGTGGCCTTTCACTCGACGCACTTGAAAGGATGTCAGAGCAAGCTTTAGTTGTTCACTCGAAGGGCGGACGATATCTTTGAGTTTTACTTAGTTACCGTAGTAAGCTTACAATCTAACTGAGCGCGAAAACCTTCAAAACTCAGAGAGTCCATTTCGTTTTTTCTTTTGTGATTTTCGTCTCTGCTCAAGTCAATTACGGCGCTTGGCATGTTTACAAACCTTTGTTTGGTTTTACCTTTGCTACTTGCCAGCTCGCTTGTTCCGAAATTTCACTTTCAATTAAAGAAAAAAAACAGCCAGAGGGAGGTCCGGAAAGTGCTCTAACACTGTACAAATGACTGGCAGATGGCGTGACAGCTTTAGCTCAGCTCCGTGTTTTGTGCTCTAATGTGGAAAATCTGTTTCTTTCGAAGGAATAATACCTATTTGTTGATTAGCGGATGATTTAATCGCTTCATTCCAAAAGTTCGTCACTTTCGAAATCTTTCAGTATGAGAGCTGAGTCAGAAAAGGAATGAATTAGTCGGTAAATATACAAAACAAAATGTTCGCGTGGAAAAGGTTAATCAATTTGGATATAATCTTACGGAAATATTGCATATGAAAATTTTAATCTCAACGTAAGTGGCAATGAGCAAGTAAGTCCAAGGATTATGGTCTGACTACGACTTTTGTGAGAAATACCTCGTTGAGTGACACAACTACAATGAAAATTGGATAACACACAATGAATCAAATAATCTGAATAAAAAATGAAAAAAAAAAATGATTCCTGTGTAAATGAACGAAATGAAACATAATCCTTGGCAATCACAGACCTCTCAGCCGTTTTGTGAATTCTCTCTTTCCCAACCATGACTTTGCGCTCGTAACTGATGCTCAAAACTTCTACGTGCCATTTGTCGGTTTTTGTAGTCGCTGAAGCCACTATGTTACACGGATGAGTTAGTTAGTGAGCGAGCGAGCGATGGCAAGTAAAAATAGAATTCTGATCTTGATCCAATTTGGACTGGTGTTTCCCGGTGCTTCCTATTGTCTTTTACGGAGTGTCTTTTCAGTCCGGCATTCATATAAATGTTTCTTTTCAAGCTAGAATTGAATCTCGACTCCCGGATTGATACACGCGCGTGCGTGTGATCCAACCAGAAAATGTTTCGCACCTTTTCTCAGCATTCAGCTTCATCGGAAGCGGTTACAATTCGCACTCGATACACATTCTGGCCTAAAGCCACCAGCGAATTATTCCAGTTCTTGTATGACACTGCAAAAGACAGTAGAAGACAATAGATTAAACAATTATTTCAGGATTGCGCGTGATTAATAACAAAACTTTTCCTTTCAGAAATATCTTAATGAATGTGCTGAACGCATAATAAAAAAAATAGAGAAAAAAATTTTTTTTGAAGAAAGAGCGTTTTAGGTCTATTAGGCCCATAGATATGATTTTTTTCAGTTCTTGCCGCACACTAAAAAGTCCATAAACATCCTAAAATCATTTCACGGTGGCATCCACTGACGCGTGATTTAAATCAAAACTTTTTCTGGCAGAATTATCTAATAGGTGTATCTGCACATCACGGAAACCTTGTGGAAGATATGTTTTCTTCGAAAAGAGAACATTTTACCGTTTGAATCAGCGACTTACGGCCCAAAAGAGCCTCTAAATTTGCGAAGCGATTAAGCTCGGCGAAGTTTACAGCGAGTTTGAGTTGTTTAAAACTTGAAGCAGAAATCGTTGAAGTTAGCTCTGTCACGGGCAACTGAAAGATAATTTCCCGCAAACGCCGAGTTTTTGGTTGAGAGTCTTTTGAGACTCGTCAAGACACCTCTGTGTCTCTGTGTTTCTACTGGCGGTCGGCAATTCCAGTGGTAAAAGTGTTAATATAGCTTGATGTATGGTTTTTACGGACTTGATGTAGGCCTCACTCGTCCGTTACTATCACTCCGTTTGATATTTCACGAAGTTTTACTAATTGAATGACTGGAACAGGCTAGAAATACGAGCTAATACGATAATAAAGAGGAATTTCTTGTTTGCCCATAACCAAGAAGTACGAGAGCCACACGACAGTGGACTGCTAAGACACACGATATCGAAATGCGTCAATCACTGTTGTGGAAACTCAACCAATCACAGCGAAGTATAGTGCTTATTCACTGTATATAGTCAAAACCCTGTGAAAGATATGGAATGTGGCCGCTTCGTACGACAAACGGCAGGTAATCCATCATTCAGAATCGATGAAGAGCACATAAATCTTGACTGCCGCTTTTAGTTCGTCACACCATGCATTTAATTGATATCGACTGGCATTGACTGATTATGTCGGATTTAATAGGTTTAATTGATTTGAGTTACGAATTTTCTTTTTCCTAGAGCTGAGCCGTCCGTGCAACTCTTCATGTATTTTGGTTGCTGCTATGGACCGCATAATGGCTTTGGATTATGATAATAACTGGAGTTTTTCAGTCATTTCTAATTTATCACTCGCTTTAGCTGTGGATTATCACTACAATCTGGGTTACATATTTTGGTGCGATAGAAACGCACAAAACATCAAGCGCTCAAATATGGACGGCACCAACATTACTGTTATCCACAAAAATGTAAAGGACCCTTACTGGCTTGCAGTGGAGTGGAACTCATTGCAGTTGTATTGGACAGCTGGAGGATATACACATCGGAACATATTAGTGTCTGATTTCGAGGGAAATAATAAACGTGTCTTCAATTGCTCTCAATTACATTTCCCAATAGGAATCGCGCTCGACCCACACGAGGGGTAAATATCTAACAGAGAAAGCATCCGTAACTTAATAACAACCCGTCAAAAAAGTGAGTGTGTGTACATGTGTGTAGTTCGGAGTTGGGGTACCATTAAGGCTGCCCAGTTCCTCAGGATTGAAGAGGCGGGACACAAACGATTATGTCTTCTGCATCCACCCCCTCCCCCCTCCTCTCCTACTATTAAAGAAATAGAATAGATACTTTATTGACCCTTCCTCAAAATTAAAGCTTTAAAGCTGAATTAGGTAAAACTTTTTTACCCCGGAGAGGTGAGGAGATAACAGGTTTAAGAGCACCTCCCATTTCTTTCACAGCCAAAGAATACAGGGAAGAAAAAATACAGTTATGTCAGGTTCAAGCGGAACCCTTCTAACCACATTTTGACGTCATCTGTGATTATTACTGAACATCGAAAACATTTCGAATTCAAGTTAAGTTTGAGGGAAATTCTTTAGAGTAAACACTCGGCTAACGTAGATATCTCATATCTGGAATGGTTTTCTCCACAGAGTGATGTTTTGGACTGACTCGGGACATAACAGTTTACCAAAAGTCGTGAAATCAAATTTGGACGGAACACAGTGTGTCGCTCTAGTAGCTTCCAGTCTTACTGATCCATGGGGCATCACTCTTGACAGACGAAACAAAGTTGTTTTCTGGGTGGACTTCAGCACGGGTGATATAGAATGCGTTGATTATGGTGGAAACAACAGAAGATTACTCGTTACATTTCCTCCCGCTTCATACCTTTGGGGTGTTACCTTCACCTCATCATATTTATTCGTTACTAGTCTCAGAAATTGTCACAAAGTAGATGCCTCCAATGGATCAGTTGTCAGGAAGTTTTCGATCAAACCCGCCGTAAGAAGTTATGGACTCATTGCATTTGACAGCTCCTTGCAGGCATCAGGTTTGAGATACAACTCTACAATCAAAGATATAGGGAAAAGTAAAAGATGGGTAAAGGTGCAATATTAAACTGATCGCAGTCGGACGTTGAAGGTTTTTTTTGTTTGTTTTTTTTATCGGTGATAATTTAAAATTTTTTAAATTTCTGTTGTAGTGTAAACTCATGATCGCCCACTAAGCGGCCATGATATTCCTTGGTTGCCTGCCCTATTGATAATCTTGAATATCAAATTGATACAAGATTGTCAATACTGTTTTATGGTTGCTGCGATTGTACATCCTGACGGTCGATCTAAAATCGTTGCAGCTTTTATTTGTATTGCGGCGGAGCTATTGATCTCATGCATCTGTGCATTGATCAATTGATGCATGATCGAAGAATTGAAATAACTTGACGATCGATCTTGGATCATGAATCGATACAGGATCGTCATCAGTTTTTTCATGGTTCGCAGCGGCTGTAGATCACGATAGTTGATCCAACAGTGTCGCTACGTTCTAATTAATCTGTGCATGGATTATTCAATTTATGCTTGTAGAATGCATCGCTACTGCTTCTTTGTGAATTGAATCCAGAAACGTTGCATTCAAAATTTTCGCCTTATTCAGGCTGGTCAACGATACCGTTTCTGAATATACGGCGACTCATACAGGTCCGACATATTCAGTGAAATCATTTACGAATTTCAATTTTGAGGTAAGCCAGTTTCTTGTACAGATTTAAGCCGTGACTACAATGCTATAGTCATTTATCTCAGCTACAACCTCCAGGCCCTTCATTCAGACAAGTAAAGTGAGGAACTCGCTGCACTATCACCGGAGGTGGAACTGACGGATATAAGGACAGGTAAGGGAACTGGTAAGGAGTCTCTTGGGGATCGACAGGTTTGAACAAGAGCGTGGAGAAATGGGTCGAGTGCATGAAGTTGAAGTATTGAGGTAAACGCCGTAATAATAAAAAATAAACACTCCATCGTTTCTCTCTCGTTTTTAACAATTTAGCCACATCGAGGCGAGGAGGTATAGACACGCCCACAAAAAAAATCAATAAGAAAACAATTTATAAGAAAGACAAAAAGAAAATTAAAGAAATGCGAATGAAGTCAAACAACGAAATGAAGTGTTTTTGTTTTTGTTTGTTTTTTTTTATTTCCGGTGAACATTGACTTTGTGTGTTCGATTCAGTTTATGTGGCTATTGTCAAAACATGGCTGGCTCTTGGTATACCTGTGGTGGTTCTGGTGTTCCTGTGGTGGTTCTGGTGTTCCTGTGGTAATTTTGGTTTTCCTGAGGTAACACTGTGATTAAGAAAAGCGACTAAAATTAAGAATGGGTGACTTTCCGGTCATTAAGAAAAAGTAATAGAGTTTGCTCTAAAGGTAAGTACTACACACGTAGGTAGGTTCAAAATATCGGGTATCGATTTCTGTGATGGAAAGAGTATTGTTTCAGTAAAGATAGAAAATTTCAGTCAAACATAAGTAAAGTTAAAGTTGCTGTTTATTTCAAATCAGCATCTAAAGCAAAGGTTCGCACGACGTATGATGTCACTTTGCGTATCTTTGTCGAGCTCATTCTGTTTACTTCCAGTTGTTCTGCATAACGTGCCCCAGGCTCTGTCTCAGATCTTTCAACAGGACCTGCGCTCGCGAGTTCCCTCCTCCTCCCGAAGACCCTCCTTGACCGCCTCCAATGTCTCCAATGACGTAACCAAACACGTCCACACACACCCTTCCCTGGTTATCTCCGTCATACCTATTCTTCAGATCTTCGCCGTACCAAACGCGGAGCTCCATATGTGGCTGGAGATACAACGGGAAATCGAAGTTGGAGAACACGAGCTCGTCAGAGTGCAAGTCATCTACCACTGGCATGTCGTACCATAAACTTGCTGCATATTTGATAAACTGCGGCAGCGGAAAGATCAGGTTGTTCTGCTTATCAGTGATAACCACATTCAGTGGGCTCGCCTTGAGAGAACTGTAATCATGGCAACCCCAACGACTGTTGAAAGCGACATCCGAGACGCATCGCACGTGGCCTGACCTGTGCACAAGCTTCAAGGCACCAACCAGAATGCCTTGCAAGCCTCGGTAGGTGACGTAACCTGGACGATTATTTCTGGCCTCAAAGCAAGCGGGAGGACCAAAATTTAATTTGTGCCATGTGGCCTCTCCTAAAGAAAAGAAGGGAAAATGTTAGTTTCAATGAATGTTTTAATAAACTACATGGAAAAGATTTTTTCCGCCAAGGCAAAAAGTAAACAAGTCGCAGAGCAGATTTGGTTGGAAAATCGAAGATTCTTTCGAGTTTTGCATTTTTCTGGGACCAGAAAAAATAATTTCATAGACTACAGACTGGAGAGAGCTGGGGTAACATTACAGTGATACCATGACCCAAATCCACATCTAGGAAGGCGTGCTAAATCTGAGAAATTCAGGGAGAACTACTTTAACAGCTGCTGATATATTTTTGACTCATAACTCTGACTTTAAAATCCAATATCTCAAACGTCGGTCAATGTATCAGTTTTATTTGCCCTAGATATATCAAACTTAGGGTTGATTTTCTGCATGTGGAGTTGTACCAGTGTGTCAATGCCAACTTGCCATGGATGCTGGGTACCATTCTGGCTGATATACGCTTGGAGCTTACTAAAAAGGCATGTCAGCGAGTATTGTGATTTTTGTTTCGAAAATTCAATCCATTAAAAGTTTCTTACAAATATTTTCTTGAATTTCAAATTAAATTAAGCGAAATAGTTTGGCATGAATTAGAGTAGAATTTTTGAAGTAAGCAACTAACCGTTTTGCAAAGGAGGAAAAAAACTATCTTGTCTCTCAAGAGAATTGACTCTGTCTGAAGCCCTGTTTGTAGCATTTTACCGCGGGTCAGGAAAGTGACTACGTCGTTTTGTAGAAAGAATGAAAGGAGATGCACTTAAAAATAAAATGAACTTCAAAAATCGTACCTGGTAATATCTTGTAGCAGAAGAAAACGAGAAGAACCTGTTTGAAAGAAAACGAACTCATCTTTGCTCAATGGAAGCTTTGTGATTTCCTCTCAGCAAATGAAATGAAAATTTGAGTAGTCTTTGAAAAATAATCAGCGTTGGGTAAATGTTTGCACGGAATCTGATTCATTCGTCACGATTTAATAAGAAAATCAAATACATTATGAATTTGTTAACACAACTGTCATATTGGATATGAGTAAACATTCTCTCAGCAAAGGCTCCAAGAAGTTTAGAAAAAACACATATTTTTCATTTTTGGGCAGAAAAAAATACAAAGGAGTACCTAGAATTTTAGGGCAGAATCCAATGGTGTCAAAGATAAAAGTCTTGACAACTTCGTACCCAGGAATGTTCGTTTCCCCTGGCTCGCGGAAGCAGGAACACAAAAAGCCCCGGTGACAAGATTGATTTCTTTCCACCTGCTAATGACGTGTGAAGTTAATCAAACGAATATCTGTTTTCAACGGTTTTTTTCCTAAAAACGGGAAAAAATTCCTAAATGAATTTTTTCATAAGGGCGAAAAAAAAATGTTTAAAGTTGATTTTAATCAAATGGTGGTTCCTTGGAGCCATCGGCAGTGTTTTTCAGAATCGCATGTGTTGAAATAAAACTAAATAAATGATTTGGAATTTGTTCCAAGCTGGATCTTTGTTCGTCCAGAAGAGCATTTTCTTATACCTTAGATCAATTACAAAATGATACAAATGATCACTATAGGTTTGAACATAATAAATTAAAATCTATAGATCTCGATCTATTGTCTTCTTTGCTTTTGTGTCACAAATATTGATCTTGCTTAATTTAAAGGACGCTAATTGAAAACTTAGTTAAATCCTCCACATGAATTTTTTTTCTTGACCCAATAAGACCAACTACAGACAACTACCTTGCTAATTTAGCCAATAACAAAAGGCTTGTTAGAGATGTCAATTACTCAGACGTGTTTATTCGAATGGTCGACCATAAGGATTTCGTTCACCGACTGAACAGGACGGTGCAATTAATATAAACAGTGCTATAGGAAAGCACTTCTCCGTTCCTTTCACTCCAATGTTCACACATTTAAATCGCAAAGGGACTACAAAGGGATCCAGATGCAACATCGTGAAAGGAGCTTGTGTCCTCTATGAAATGACACAAAAAATTTCTGATCTCGCTGGAAAAGAGGTTGTTCATCGACGGCAAAAATGCTTTACTACTTCCTGAGGCAAGCGTATAATGTTGGCCTTATTCTACTTCCCCCTTAAACAGGGCACCCCGCCCCGCACAAAGTCTGGTGATGTCAGCATTCTTAAAAGGCTCCGTTCTGGGAAAACAATGAATCTGGATATTGGTGTGGTTATAGACAGCAGGTCGGGTAATAAATAGAACTCTACGTTTTCAAATTCGAGTGATTTAGGTAGCGTAGCTTGTGGAAAATGTATTTGAAGAAGTGAGGATGGTACGCAGAAGCGCACAAATAAGGTTGCTTTTTTTCTTATATTCCTCCAATGTAATAAAGACGGGGCGATTCAGGACCAACAGGGCACCTATGCTTTAATAAGTGAACTTTTCGAATAGGAAAAAGGTAGCATTTAATACCAATGTGGTGCAGACGTTCTCGTTTATTCAGCTTGCCTTACTCGTTCAAGACCTCACGCTGAAGTCCTTGACTCCCATGTGATACGAGTTTTTAGAATCTCCTCCCTTATAACTTAAAAAAAATTTCAGACAAAAGAAAACAAAGAGAATTAAGGAAAATAATCACTCGCGGTCCGTAGAGCCTGTGAGCTGGTCGTCATCTCTAGCGCAGAAGGACGCTCGTTTCTCCACCCGGGCAAAGATTTGAGCCGTGTCGGGGAGAGGTTTACCGGGGATCTGGGGCTAATAATTAATTGTTCCAGACCCCTTGCAGTCGCGTTGCTGAAATCTCATACTTTCCTGAGAGCGCCAAATTTTCAGTGCTGACAAACAAAGACATTTATAGTGATCTATTGGTAAAATTCCCTTTTCGATCACGGGATTTCACATGTTAAAACGTTTAGTTGCCAAATGAGAGTTGACAATCACTTTATTTTATTTTCATCAATTACATCATGTACAAATGTTTATCAGGAGATGCAGAGCTTTCGCTGACGAGGATATTTAACTTTACAATTTACACAACACGTGTAAACACTTGAATTATAGCACAACCATCAAACTTTGATAAAAGTATAAAACATCTCATTAACAGCATAAAATTCAGCATTTTATGTTACCGTGTGAGCACAGCATCACAACTGATGAGAGAATCTTACGATCGGTCCACTAAAAATATCGTCTAAAATACATCAATCAATTTATATTCTATTCAATTGCTTAAAAATACACTCCTGTTGTAAGGAATTTATTCGCACACTCACAATACGCAAGCGATACTAATGAACAGGCTGTAAACTACTCCGAGCTATTTACCAACCTTCTCCACAGACCTTTTGAATAACAAAGAGTGTTTATTAAATTCCCTCAAATCATAGTACCTATGATGAATTGTTGAAGATAACTAATAAAAATTTACCCCGAAGCACCTCACAGACTGTCTTTCATCCTTTAAATCCTAAGAGTAACCAGTATCTAATTTCTCGACACAGTATCACCCCTGAATTAAACATTTGGGTCAAGAGAATAAAAGAATGTTGTTAACGTGTAAAGGACTAAAACTATACAGCAAATCAAACCCAAGCACGATTAATACAATCACAATTAAATAGAAAACATAAAAAGGGCGTTCTGATTGGCCAATCTGTTAATTACGTCACAATTTACGCCCAATTCTCATTGGCCAAACTGTCAATTACGTCATAATTTACACCTATAGTTCACTCTAGGTGCTCTCAGTAGTTAAACTATTTTAAAAATCGCTACGTTACTATTTATACATGTCAAAAAAAATTAGCGTGGCTACTGCAATGTAGCTTCTGATTGAGCTCAGGCCTAACCTTAATACAAGCTTGAATAAAATCTTAAAGCTGTTTTCAATGTAATTCCTCACACGTAACAACTATAACATCAACTTATATCGTTTATGACGTTAGAAAAAAATTGCTTAAAACAGGAAATTCGTGGAAACGTTTTACTACGCTTCTAAAAGAGGCCTAACTTGTATTCTAGAAATTGCAATGGCAGTTGCAGGGCACAGAACTAAGAAGTCTTACGAGTAAATTTTGGACTACGCATGTACCAAAGTCAGCGACGAACCTCGGTGTCGCAGGCTCGACTGGTTCTTCGTGTCATGCACAGCTAATTTACAAAATTAAAAAGAAAAACTAATAAGCTATGCTCTCTCCATTTTTGAGTATGGACTTCAAAGTTTATAAATTACACTCCGTCTGTCTGCTCAAAGAATTCACGAAATAATATTATTATTACATTTATGAAATAGTACTGAAATGCGTTGGGGACATTGAACTCTGGTTAAAAAATTGGACAGGAAAATGTCTATTCCAGGGGATGTGTGGAGGGGAGAAGCAGATTTTACAGGAGGAGGAAGATTGGTGATGATATAAGAAAAGAGCTGTGAGCTAGTTTCAATCAATGATGGCAACATGTAAAGGCTAAGTGGACTGTAAAATCATACCTATACCACAATTAATTTTATACAAATATTGAGATAATGTGATCGTGGACGCGGAGTTTGCACAACTAAAGATTATCACGCGCAACTTTCATATGCATTAGCAAGATTCTCGGGCTAGCTACAAATACAACAGACGCCGCAAAATAAATTCGTCTTTCCGTTGCACTCCCTAGATCTGAACAATAATTCTCCTTACTGTCAGCTATACAATTATTAAAATGTTAGTTTTGAGAATTTGCAATTTAGTCGAATATCTTCTAGTTGATGTTTTTCTTTACTCTCATTACCTTCTGACTTGATAGCGTATGGATATTTTAAGGAGAAATTACTTCCTGGTCATTAACGGGAGTGAAAAGGTAGACAAGTCGAAAACTGAGACTTGAAACTTGAAGTGAAATTCATTTTTGACCAGTGAGCGTGCGAAACTCGATGACAAAATGTTACATGTATGTACACAAAAGTTTGGAATAAATACACAGGGTAAATGTGGAAAGTGAAGTCATTAACAAACAGGCTCAAACTCCCTCTCAGTTTATAAATTCCCTAATATTTTAAAACATCTGAAAAGATTCAATTGACAAAAATTTAGAAATTTTATGGTTTCTGAAAATAGTTTCGATTTTATGACAACTTCGTGCAGGCTTTTAGTAAAAATTTACCATAGGAAAAAACTTCCTCCGACTTTTTATGACTGGTACATGCTATGGTATGTTTGACTCTTCCAAGAAGAACGAGGAAGGCTACCACTCTTAAGAATAGTGTGTCCGCCGTTAGGGATACCATCTACAGAAAAAAAACAAACAAACGAAGTGAGGATGATTAGATGTTGCGTGCGTCAAGTAGTTATAAACATGCTTTATAACATAGCTAGTAAATTTGTCTAATCAAATTCAATTGCGCGAGCGTGCTTCATATTCCTATTGTGCACGCTCATGACGTCAGCAAACAAATCCCTCGAGAAAAATTTTTTCCATCGCGTTGAAAATGTTATAAAACAATTGGTTCATACGTCATGTGTGCGTTCATCGAGATATGAAGCACTTGGGAAGTTTAGAGAGCACTCAAGAACCAATGAACCAATTGTTAAATGAACACGTTACAAAACCAGACATGCAGTGATATTCAAAACTCACGCATCCTGTATATAGAGTCGATAGTAATTCGGGATTGCTTTGCTTTTTCTTCACTTCGTTCTGTGATGGGTCCATAAAAACTCGCGCCACTTTCTCAACCAATCAGGTGCAAAACTTAAGACTTGGTCGCCCGCGTTTTCCCGCGCGTTAGACAGTTTGGTTATTTCTTCTAATTGGACGTTGTGATTGACTTGGTTTCACTTTTACGAAACTCAATCGAAAAGCGCTCCAATGATGCCCACCAAGTAAAAACCGGTTGGTTGTTTAACCACCCCGCAAAACTAGTTTGTGACTTATCTAAGCAAACTGGTCTATACACTTACTAAGGAAACACT